CTCGTGTACAGAGCAATGCTGAAGGTTTTAGTCATCAGCTCACTGCTGCTGCCTTACTACCAAAAGCACCTAGAAAGAGGTAAAAATGTGTACAATTATGTAACTTATACTGAAAAGGAAAATGTACTTGTATATTTTAGTAAATTATTTTCAAAAAATCAGTTTATTCAGTGTAACTCCTGCTGTTTTCACTTTAATAAGTAGTATTAAGCTGTCACTGAAAGCCCTCACTTAGGTACTTGGGTCTGTCAGTTGTTGGTAACAGCTACACTTCAACATAACAGCCAAAATTAAGATTAGCAGTAAGTGGTTCTTTTATAAGATACTAAGAGAGGTATCTAGTTCCCTATTTGTAGCTATTCAAAGGATGGATGTGATCCATCATTTAACAGGCAACCAGTTTGTCATGGTTTGAAAATTGCCCCCCCAGGAGCCAGGGGGCCTAGAGGTGATTTGGTGCCAGGGCAGTCTCCCCTGGAGGGCCAATCACTGCTCGTTTTGTTCGCTCCTGTGAAAATCATATATACACAACCGGCGGAAGTTGTTGGCAGTCAGTCTGTCTGTCTGCTGCTGTGTGGGTGGGTGGGTGTGAGAAAGGCCCACAGGTGGCAGGGCCCCCTTTTTTCCCCTCCAGGGGGAAGGGGGGCCCTGCGGCCCACAACTCTGGCCTAAGCCAGGGTTGGAGGCAGCATTGGAGTGAGTGTGTGTTATGAGGGAAGGGACTCACAGCACCTAAAGGTAAGCAGGAGAGAGGAGCCAAGCCCTCTTCCCCCCACCTTTGCAGCTAGACTGCAGAGAGGGCTTCTTCTTTTCCCTCTCACTGTAGAGGGGACGCTCAGCATTGGAGCAGAGCCAAAGGGGATGGGCGGAATGCAGCCCGGTGCCAGGGAGATAACCCCAGGCGAAACTGGAGACAGACCAGAGAAAGGCCCGGAGGATGTCCTTGCAGTGATTTGAAACAGAGGACAGCCGAAAACTTGGAGAAGGAATGAACATTCTGGGACGTGTACTGTGATACAGTACAGAACCGAGGTATGAGAGAATCACACAGCAGAGATGGCACAGAACCAAGGAGAAAGGACTCAGAGCTATCTTCTTGGACTTCGTGAGAAAGAAAAGACTTCAGCAAACAGCTGGAGCTTGGTGGGGGAATGAATCAGGTTCCCTGAACACTCCCATGAGAGAAAGACTGGTTACCTATCAGCCTGAAGGGCTTTTCCTGGACTGAATTAAGGGAGAAGCTTAAAGGGACTGATAGAATTGTGTAATATTATATATATAGTTGCTTTTAGCTTGTACAGTATATTTATTTGTGTAAAATAAATGTATATATACTTCCCCTTTTCCCTTATAGAAGCCTCTTGCCTGAAAGTTTCTCTTCAGTGTTGAGATAAAATTGTGGGAAGGGGTGGGGGAAGCCTGGAAATTGGATTTTGGATTTTTGTGGTGGCTCAAACCACCACCCAGTTTTCTTTAAGAATCCAATTCCACCACTTTATGAAAAAAACAACCTACTAGCTTTTCATAAGAAGTAGCTGATGGCAGACAACATTTCTGAGGCTACTTTGTTTTGCAAGACATAACTAGGGAAGTGCTTTAAGAACACATAATGCAAGGCCCTATAGAGTCAGAAATCTATTGAGCTTCATAATAATAGATTCCACAGATTATGACATGCAAAGCCAGTAGCAAATAAAGCCTGTGGGCTTGTTCTAAAGTTTACCTCCTTCCACTTGATACCTAAATCCCATTTGAAGTACTAGTTTTTCCTAGAGAGTTGCTGTGCACAAGATATGAACAGAACAAAGCCTTTCAGTTACCAAATTTCCCTTTGCATTCACCAGCTCTGACAACTCTAGAGTGGCCTATCATCAATATATATACACTTGGCAATGTGGTGCCACTCTGCTGTGGTGGCATTTTGGTTTTATTATTTTTTAACAGGAAATATATGTGCACAGAGATGCTGCTTCTCTCATTTAACATTTATCTTTTTTTTCTATTCAACAAAGAGGTGTAAGAAGAGATGGTGGAACAGTTGAAAATTATGGAGTTAGCAATGCTATAAAAAAGTCTTACTGCTTTTGGAAGCATTTGAGAAAATAAGTCAACATTTCTTTTATGTGATCACTAATACACTTAGAAACCTTTCAGTTACTCGTTGTTAGGCTCCTGTGCTACTTTGGAGTTATGACAACTATCAGAGCTTTTGTACAGCAAAATGGAGAAAGCACCATGGAAAATACTGATTGGAGCAGAGTTAGTTCTGGATTAACAAAACTTGTTCCAGAACAGAAGACGACTGTTTCAAGGAAAAAAGAACTGGCTGATACCCTTACATGTTTAACTCACAGCAGTAAATAACTGTGACCAAGTCACATAGTAGAATGCTGTTCTATACATTTCAGTGCTCTGTATCGTCTACTAGTAGTTTTATAGTGGGAGTTTGTTTTCCCTTCTCATCACCCCTACTCTACAACTGAAGTTATAAAATCATTTTATTTCCATGCACAATTACACTTGCAGTTTCATAGCCTTGGAATTACTGAAGATGCTACCCTAGTTAACAAAGTAAACCATTCATGTATTTTATTTCAGACCTTTTGCTCTCCAATTTTCCATTTCAGTAAGATACACGTCATCCATCTATTCAAACAGCATTTAGACACAGCATTGCTTCAAGTGCAGCAAAGGTGAATTAGCAACTTAGTCACTGCATCGTGTAAACAGTGAATTGTTTCACTATATAGCCTCCACAGAGGTAAGTTCTGCAGGTAGCTGCACAAGCAGCACGTGCTGCAATTCATACTGTAGCTATTGCTATATTAAGAAGACTGGTCTTTCGTCAAGGCATGGACTAGCTTGAATTTACCAATTATTGCCATTTAAGTGCACCCCTGGGACATGTGCTGCCTGCTCAGAATAGTTAAGAAAGCAGGCTGTTCCTAATCTTTTTTTTCTAGTTACTATATTAGTAATATACTATATTAGAAGTACTTTTTCCAAGCCCTTCCCAGGTAGGCTACTCTCTCTTGCAGCTCAGAACTGTTGCTAGTCAAAAGTCTGTATTTTCCCCCACACCTACTCCCCTTTAAGAGCATTCTGGGAATCTGAAGCTCTACGTATTAGAGAAAATACAAACTAAATTGCCTCACAAGTGAAATTGCATTGGTAGGAGCTTAAAACACTAGATTTTACCTACTGGACTATGTATATTCTACGTATCTGTTACAGATACTTGACTGGAAAGTTTTAAAGGTATTTTTTGTTTCTTTATCATCCTGAAGTATACACCCATGTCAACCACACCTTATACTTTGTTAGTATTATTCTGTGAAATAAAAATAGAAGAGAAACTTCCTAGTTGCATAGCAGCAACTACTTCTGCCAAGTTTTTCAAGGACAGGAAACTAAATGACGACATTTTTAAGAGAAAATAATTTTAGAACACATTCAGTTATAAAAGTATGTATTTTTGTGCACAATATATAATTTAACAATCAAAAGCAGAAACTGTAAGCCTTCATTCTTAATAGCATTCAGACATACAAAGATGTACAAGGGTTGATTTCATACCATAGATACGGAAATTAGGCATCTATTCTATGGACAACAGTAAGACAATCCAAGTAGCAGACTGTGTTGTTCACTAACATAAAGGCACCAACTCCCTCATGGATTTGGCTCTTGCAGATCAGGAAACAGTATCGATGCTCCGCTAATACTCAAGCTCAGAGTCTCAGAAATTATTTCCTTGTGTGGTATTCATTGCAATATTACAATTCTGATATACCCATCACAGTGTTCTGTCAGCCAATGTGTTAATTTGTTGTTAGAGCTCAGGCGAGTCAAGAATATGGACTTGTAGTGGCAAGGGAGAAAAACATTCCAATGTTTGGAATGTTCAAATGCTACAGAGCAGGTTTGCATTGTGTAAGCAGAATAAAGGTAACCACTTCAGTCTTCTGTCCCAGGAAGACAATTAAATAATGTATACTTTGCTTTCACAACTAGCAGCAAATAATCCTTCAGTTAACATGAAGTTTGTAAGAAGGAAAAAAAAGCTCATCCAAAATTCCCTACACTTTCTTATGTAGGTGGTTCTTTGAAGTTTCCTGTGCCATGTTCTTAAAAAGTACTTCTTTGCTACTTGGGTTTTTAAGTATATAATCTTCATTTACTGATTGGGCAACTAGTAAGCTTTTGAAATACATTGGCTTTCCAACAATTACTGGAAGCCAATCCACAGTACTGAAGTATCTAATGCCCTAAAAATGACTTCACCTTCTTCACATAAGGCAAACTGCCACTGGCCTATTTATTACATGCAGCTGTTTCATCCTTTGGTCAGTTGTTTGGGTTTTTCTGTTTTGTTTGGTTAGGTTTTTGTTGAGTTTTGTGTGTGTGTGGTTGCTGATTTTGGTTTTTTTCTTTAAATATCAAGTTGTGCTGGGAGTGAACTGAAAATATACCCCTAATACTGACTGTATTTCTGCTAAAAAGAAAACAAAATACCTAACACTGTCTAAACATTTCAATGGATTAGTGTCATCTCTAGCCCTGGGATTCAATATTAGTGGCTACAGGATACTTGTAGACTGTCCTCCCAAAAAAACACCCCATAATGCTATTAGTTTTCATTATGCCTCCAATCAATTTGGTTTGAAGATTTTTGCCATCCAACACTGAGTATCATGGGTTACTCCAAAGCATCACTTTCAACTGTAAAACAGGCATAGTATATAGCTGGGTGGAGTTAAAATTATATAAGCCACTTGCAATTTAATTACTATAAATATTTAAAGAAAAATTCTGGAAATAAATCTAATTATACTACAGTAAAACCAAAATGTTTTTCTTCATAGGAAAGAGCTTCACCTCACCTGGTCAGAAACTCCTCTATTCTGCAATAGAACAAGAACTTTTAGTTGCAAGTAACTTGGACATGTAATATTTCCAATTGCCAGTCCCAATATCTGCAATAATAAACCAGTCAGGAATCTATTTAGAACTAGTTTATTTAGAACTAGCATACAGTTCATAAATGGCTACTTCTTCCTCCAGACCTGTGACAAAAAAGTTTCATAATAAGCTTCTCTGGTTTTGATAGGTTTAAAAAGTACTCCCAAAGTCACTGCTGACAGCAAACTTCAGTCACTATTTTGCACTGGAGAAAGGCATAAACTGAACTCCAGTGAAAACTGGCCAAAAGAGAATAAGATATGGGATGCAAGAGATCTGCATGCTTTTCTACTCAGTTCCTTCCAGTTTAGATGCATCATACAAACACTTAGAAGTTAACTTTCAGATGAGGGGTGTAAAAATTTCCATCAAATAAATACTTTAGGGAGATAGTTTTATTTTCTTCTACTCACGTGTGCACAGGCTTTAGATCAGGCATATATATACACGCACAACAAATATCAGAGCAATGCAGCATGATTTCCTAGTCATGGCCTCCAAAGTGATGCCAATTTACAGTAAAGAAATGGAAACCTCTATATCCCTCCAGTTACCATTACCTTAAAGTTCGTGTGGTTACGAAGTGTTTTAAAGCCCTCAACTCACAAGCTGTAAGTAATGGGCCTCTTCAATTTTGTGATCCACAAACTCAACCCCAAACCAGTCATGTGGTTTGGATTGTAAAGCTATGGTTAGCATGCTAGAGATACAAGTTAGACAATGTTCACCAAGTCCCTATTTTAGTGAAGACACTCAACTTATGAGGTATTTCAAACAGTGCAAAGTGCCCTCTCCAACTTTCCACAACTGTGAATTCAGGTTACCCCTGCTTGTTCAACTTCAATAAAAGGACTGTATTTTCGGTGCAAGAAATTAAAAAAAAAATTAAAAAAAAAAGAAAAACTGGGAGGAGGAATAAAACATGCAAGAAGATTCTCAAAGCCCTAATACTTTTAGCCCTGAGCAGTATAGAGGAAGTAAAGGTAGATGAGTAGAAGGAAGTTGGCTGCTTTCTTTGAGCCAAAGCCATGTTTACATGAAGCAATAAGAGAAAATTAATTACTATAGAAAGTTACTGCTTCATTTTTCCCAGCCCCTCTTATTAAAGAATAAAAGTTTCACAGATCCATGAATATGGTGGTTTGCAGCTGGAGAGACAGTGTCATTGAACAATGACAGCAGGTTTTAATTGTCAATTAATTTCTTGGCTCTGATGTTGGCTTGCTCAATGCGGTCCCTGTTTGTATCAGCCTGAAAGAGAGAAATTCATACATCATTTGCAGACTCCATGCAAAACAGTTTAAAAATTCAAACTGACACGAACTTCTGAATTCCAAGGTATTATCACTGCCGTAGACAGAAGGGAAGCCAGTATATGCTGTCAATTTTGGCAGAAACCAAATCAGGAGAAATAGTTTCTACTCTTTAGCTGCAGACTTTCAAAACAGCAACTTGCCTCAGTTGGTCAGGAACAATATTAACAAAGTAAGGAGATAAAAATTCCCTCTCTCCAAGTCTTTGGACATCTTAAGGACCTTTACAGAGCAACAAAGTTGCTCTGAACTAGAAGTAATAGTCAAAAGTAGAGCTGGCATAAAGTCAGAATTATTTTGCTTAGCACAAATCCCTGGTTTTCATTCACACACCCTCCAGTGTCCTAGTGTCATAAGAATATGGTATTTGTACAAAAAAGCTCTTTATTATTGTTTTACTACCATAAAGCATCAAAATTCAGCTCACAACATCTAGGTTGAAAAAGTGTCAAAATACAGTTTTATTGAAAGGTATGATAAGGAGACTTGAAATAATTCCTCAGTTATCCAGCCTGCAGTGGGGAATGTCCTCATCACTAGAGGAACTCCCAAGAAGTTCTACCTGTGCCAAGTATTAGCTATTTCACAGCTTCATACTGCAAACGGCCGGTAAAAGGACATCTGCAGTTCAAGTCCTTCCCTCCTTTTCTCTCCTTCCTGCCTTTCAGGTCAAGGGTAGAGGGAGGGGCAAGAATCTACTATACAAAAGTGAGACTAACAACACTTCAGAAACACATCCATCTAACTACTAGATCTGCTTCTAAGGAAAAGCCAATAACATAAGTTTCATTACAGGTTTACTCAGATTAGGAGTCCTGCACAGCACTGTAGACTACCAAAAGTCACTTAGTCAAGTCTATATATTTTCCAGATGAGTTAGAATTAAAAAAAGAAAAAAAAAAAAGAAGCAGCAACTCTATTCTGAAGTTAAGCTTAATATTGCTTTTTGTTTCTTTATATGATACTGTCCTTTGGAGATTTACACTCAGCATTTTGATTTGGTTTCCATACTGTTCACTAGATTAAAAAAGTTATCAACAGAAAAGGATTATTTTAATTATCCTGACACAGGTTGCTAGTCACAAAGCCAGGAATTGCACTTTCGGTTTCACTGTGTTCTGTAAAGCAATTCTAACTTGTATACAACATATTTTAAGAATTAGTAAGACTTGATCAGCAAGATTTTCTCAGGCCACTAAAGCAAAAAAGCAACAGGCCAAAACCAGGTGCTTTAATCTACTAGAAACACTATTGCTAAAAATAGTAATTCCTACTTGCAGTTCATTTGAGCAGGTAATTTTCAGTCTGCTTTATAAATTGTAAGAATTTCCCACCTAATTTTAAACTCCAAGGAATATTCTAGCGTACTTTAAAATGTTTGACTTTTTTACCTGATAATCAGGTCTACAATTTCAAGAACAGCAAAAGACAGTTAAAGCATCCTCCATAGAATCATGCTGATTTGCCTTATTAATACAACAACCCTTTAATTACTAGACAAAATTGAAATGCTGACACAAGTACAAACAGCATTTTTGTCAAACTAGCTCCGTATATGAGAAAACATCATTTATCTTGCTTTTAACTCTACTACACATTTCAGTGAGATTTTTAACTTTGAGATTTTTAAACTTCCCATTTTGTCTTAATACTAAAATTTTACAGGAATTTGTGTTCACTGCTGCTTTTTGAAGTCTTTAAAGTTTTCATTTCCTTTCTAAACCAGGATGTTTGTAAGAGAACTTTTAATATGGGCATTTCTAAAATAGGCCTAACATACTCATTAAGTTTCCCTTTGAAAGACACCCCCTTCTGCCAAACATATTTATATATGCTTAATCTGCTTGGGGAATCTAATATTTAAGTAATATAAAGTAATAAAAAAAGAAATTTACTGTGACTAACTTCACGTGCAGATGAAGGCATCCCTGTGCACTTACAAACCTCATTATTCCAAAGTCTTCTCAGTCCCAATATTAATTTGTCCCAAAGAATTAGGGCAATGAATTATCTGTTTTATTTTATATTTAATTATTCTAGTGACTTTTTAGAAATCCCAGAAGAACCTCCCTATTTTTACAAATACCTATTCCCTACCGCATAAAAGATTTCCTGCAAGCAACAATCCCCCAGTTATACCTCCAGTAAATGTTTTTCCTTTTGATCCCATCAAGTTTGTTTGTTTCCAGAGTAAGTAGTAACCTGTATATATGTAGTATATAAGTAGTAACCTAAATACATACTGTATATTTAGATTTTCTGACACTCTGAAGCATTTGAACCTTCCACTACTTACCCAAACACCAAGGTATATTTCCCATTGAAATCACTGCAACCTAGAGGATGGTATAACCTTAATGCATATTTACTGCAAATACCAATAGATAGGACAGTAGCACATTCCTAGTAACTTCTCAGTTACAACCTCTAAGCTGAAAGCAGAGAACACCTTTGACGCTTACCTTTACGTTTATCCGGTCTATTTGTTTATTCTGGGCATCAATTTCATTGCCCATATCCAAAGCCATGTTTTTCAAATTCCCAAGAATGTTTCCCACTTGAGCAAGATTTTCATCCATTTCATCTTCTCTGGCATCATTTGTTATTCTGTTCAAGTAATTAAGGTAAAGTTTCAAGAATCAAGAACTTGCTTTACTCTAGATTTAGTCCAATAGGACTTTGTTGCACAATGTATTCAAACCAAGGTATGTTTTTCCCCTTTCAAAGCTCCTTGCATTCCAAGCAAGCATCTACCAAAAAAAAAGGTGCTAAGCTAGCCATTATTACAAAAATAGCCTTAAAAATTAAAATACTAGCTAACAGAGGAATTTTAAGACATGAGTTTATCTCAAATACACTTTATGACTAAGAGAGTCTCTTTTTTTTTTAAGAGTCCCCTCAATAACTGAGCACTAAGCTCTATAGTCCTCACATCCAGAAACAGACTGATAATATCACCACTATTAAAAAAAAAAAAAAGTGTAAGATGAGCACTGCAATACTGACAGCATAGGTGTCTGCCATCTCCTTTCCAAGCTATAACAACTCCTTCAACTTACTATTTAACAACTTCACCTAAAATGCATCTGAAAGAAGCTGATAACTGCTAAGAAATATGAACAAGCAAACCTTGTAATATATCCACCACTTGGTCCTCCAGAAGCCTGAGGCTGCTGCTGGTTTATACGTCTTGGTTGCATGGATATCACATGATCTGCTGAGTTCTCCGTTCCATCTCCCCAGGTTGCTCTGTATGCCTTGCTGGCCTCAAAGTTCTTTGTCCTACTCCAGAAAGAGAAGAAATCTGAATGACTACCTCAGAAATATGCCTTCCTGACTGAAATTAAGTATTAATCTAGGGTTTTCAGAAACATTTGTCTTGTGCCTTAAAGAGATTTAGTTTTGTATGGATAAAGCCTCATCTACGTAATATAATTTCTCATATCTTGATAGTACAAACACAACTAAGGACAGTGATTAATGTGATCTTAAGCTTTAACACAAGAGTTAAAGTAATATACTTCACCAGGACACAGAAGCTTATGACAGTAGCAGGAAGGCTTACATGTCACAAGATAAAGTTGCACTTACAACAGGCATTAGTATAATCAATCATGATTGGTTACTTTTCAGGAAGAAATGGGGATGAGTGAAAAAACTTCCTCAAACACAAATAGCTATACTATGCAAGAAAACCATAAATCACTATAGGTTTTTATAAAATATTTTCTGTTGCCAAGTCTTTTTTTTTTTAATGTTTCTCAGGGTAATTTTGATTATAAAATAACAGTAATCATATTTAAATAGCTAATGCATTATGCAATTCAATTGTACTAACTCCGTTAAATCAAAACAACTTACCATTACACTTCTATCACATAATTCATAAGAAAAAAAAATTAAAAGCACACTGACACAAAGCAGTCTCAGGAACCACAGAGCCACAAAAGCAAGAAGGGAAGAAAATATAACACAAAAATAACTGATCTAAATTGGGGTCAGTTCTCATTTTGAGAAGAATATTCTCATGTTCACCTTCTTTTCTGGCATTTTCAGGTTTAAGCTAGACAATCCAGATTCCACTGCCACTTTTCTGCTTCTTTAAAAGCCTGTGAAGGGAAATCTGTAATGTCTTTCAGTACATCTAACTTTACAGTTACCTGTAATCAATTTCTATAGATACAGTGCCTTTCAGTAGCCCAGATGTTATACATTTGAAGTGTTGGGAAATTCACTGCAATGAAGAAATATTCCCCTAATTCTACTGGCATTTATATATTTGAAATGGGAAATGGTGTTTCGCAGGTCAGATCCTACAAATAGTAATCTAGAATGAATACACGAAGGGGAAGAAATAGAATCACTTCTCAGTTCACAACTGAAGTGCTGAACCTAGCAAAACCCTAAAGAAACCTAAACTAGTCAATTCTAGCTCTTTGTACATACACAAGCTTACAGATCTCTTTAGGTTTACAGCAACTAGATTGAGCATTATATTTTAATCTCTTCCATACTAAAGCCACAACAGCAGGAGAACTTTGTGTGATTTGCTTCTGGATAAGCAAAGTCTTAGGTCTCAGAGGCAACTGTAAGGACGTTATTACCAAAAAACAAGTGGCCTGAAAATTAGTTTCACATCTGAAGGAGACAGCTAGAAACAGCATTGTTTGAACTAAACACAGTTAAGAACAAAATTTCTCACCACCTGTTTTTAAGAGCTGTTTTTCAAATTCAACTGAACATTTCAAATGTTCACTTCTCTCATGCTTCATTTCTGTAAAACTAAAGCTATTTATACAACTTGCCATACCAGCAAGAGTTCAAGCAGTTGTTCACCATTTCTATAACTACTACCCCTCTGTAGTAATGGGTATTTTCTGTTCACATCAGTATTACAATACATCAGTCATAAGGAGACCTGCATGCAGACAGACATCATGCACATGCAAGCACAAAGACAACAGAAGCATCACTTCAGACAGCTGGTTAAATATGCATCTGCACTACTAAGACTGACCTTGTCCTAAAATCCACTTTCACCAGTTTAAGCGAATACAGCTTCTTATCCTAGTCTTCATTTTTAGAAAGCAAGCGTCAGTGTTAGAAGAGAATGGAGGACAGAATGGAGAAGAAAGAATAGTAAAGACCAACAAACAGGCAACTTGTTATTAGTACATAGATTGTAAAACAGTACTGCCAATATTTTGTTTTTAGAAAGCTTTTATACATAATCTAAGCCTAGGAGAAATTATAAAAGCAATATTTAATTCAACAAGTGTTCTGATTTAGCTTTATGCTCGTGAAAAAAATGAAAAGCTTTGGAGATAACTGGTTGACAAATAATTCTGGCATTGACAGAAAGATTGATGTACCAGTAGATGTATTAAAGACACTCACTGTTTCTTCTTCTGCACTGCCCTCTACTTATCTGGTAGATTTTTTTTTTCTGCACATTACGGTCCATTTGGTACACAACTCTTATTTCTTTTCTTGTTATCTGTGTACTTGGAGTGCCCCAAGAGTTCACAATTTCTAAGTTTGCTCAGTGTCAATAAGCTGCTTAGCTTCAGTGAAATAAGACTATCAACTATAGAAAACAAAGACTGAGTGTGTCAAAATGCTCAAAGTCCACCAGCTTGATCCAACTAATATAAAGCAGGAAGCATACCTATCCAGAGGTCAGGACAGAACTATCTGTCTTTTCCAGGGCCTCAAGCTCTAGGACTTTCAGTCTTAAAAGCCACATTCATATCTATCCTAAATGATCCTCAAAGTATTCTCCTGGATAACCAGACTCAGCCACTCCAAGGAATCTCTACCTAAACTTCTGCTGCCTCCCAGTTGAATAAGATTTTTTCGCTCATGCTAAAGAGCAAAAAACGACAAATACACACATTATTCATTTCAGTTACCACACTCTATTTCTCCTTCATTTGGAAGAAATATGATCACATCCAATTCACTCAAAACAATTTGACACGCTACTTAAAGCTAGTACACCTTCAAAAAATAATTCTGATCATTGTTCAGGTTGTTTAGGTGTTTACAAGTACAAATCCAGTGCCATACAAGATTACTCAACTGACTTGGATATGGTAGCCATAACAGTGATGTTACAAAGGTAGTGCGAAGCAGGTCTACAAGAGTTTACGTAGCCATTATTGAAAAGATTAAAGCTTTAACACCAATGTCTGTTCTGTTCTTCTATTCTCCTACTCTCACCCTCCCTAAAGCACGAATATTTTCTAAATGCCTAGAGAACCAATATTACTTTCCTTCCCCAAAAAATAAGTTTTCTTGCTTTTAAGTTAGTACAAAAGCACTTTTGTGAAAAAAAGATTTTTGGAGTCAAATTTCTCAGAGGCAGACACATATTTATTTGAAGTCCTATTTGATCTCATTTGCATGGACATCGATAGTATTCTACTAAATATCAGCTTTAAGGAGGTTAAGGCACAACTGGGGAGGTTGTTATACAGCAGCTATATCTACAGTGGAAGGGGCACAACATATGGTTAGATGCAAGTAAGCTTTAGCTACTCTTATACAATTTTATAAGGGTGCAGCTCTACAAACCAAAAGAATCAACTTTGCTAGCATTTTTTAATTAGCTCTTTTATTAGTGAACATCTCCCAGTACAGCAGCTACTGGGAACATTCTAGAACTTCAGACCCAAGTACCAATATAACTGACCTGTTACAAGGGCAGACACAGAGCCCACAACATTTGTTGAGCTCTGTCAGTGTCTTTTCAGCTTCTCTCATGTCCTTATTTATCTGGTCCATGCCTTCTTCTATGCGATTTAGTTGTTCTAGGAAAGAAACAAGTAACCTGAATAAACATGGATTGGGGGAAGATCAGGGTGGGGAATATTAACATTTCTTTAAAGCAGGAACTTAACAAGTTTCAGTTCTATCTTTATACCAAGACTAAAGCCTATTTTCTTTCCTGCCTTCTAGGATTTTTTTTTAAGATAAATATTAAGTGATAAGTTTTGTTTACTACATGAAAAATATATTACTTATCCTTAGACCAGCACTTTTTTTGCTGCTTTTAAAATAAATGCACACAGTTACATTCATGGGATGGTGGAGAGAAGCAGCTTCTGTATTACATTGTAACTAACATTATCTCTGAATTACTTTAAAACCTCTTTTAAATACTACAAACACTTGTGAAAAACCAACTAGCAAATCTCATTTTCACATAAGTAGTCTTTAAGAAACCTTTAGTTTCAGCAACAGCTCTTGAATGATGATTTTTTTCTTACAGTCACAATAATGACTTTTAGTGTTAGAGAGGAAGAAGGAAGAACTTACCTCCTTGTTCATCTAGCATGGTAATAGTTTTGATGCCAACATCCTGGGACTGCAGAAAGAAATTTAGTTGAAGATATAAAACCAGATTTCAATACAGCAGTGCAAATCTGAAGGTCTTCATAGTAAATTGGATAATCCAGCCAAGTTTATAATAAAACACTGTGCTAGAAATAACTTCTGTAGTAAAGTTATTCTAAGTTTCAAATTAGATGCTATGTTAGTGAAACAGGCTGATAAGCATCTCAATTAGTGGTGCTTTTGTGAGGGTTTGGCTTTGTTTTTTTACATTACAACAAGATGATAAAATTTATTGTAATAATCATATTGAACTATGACAACATCAAGCTAAAAAGGTAGACCTAGTTGTGCCTCATTTTGAGAAGCAGCATTGGGTTTGTTCTTTATCCCTACACCCTTCAGTAGGGCTTACAAGGCCTTAGTCTTGGAAGCCAGAAGAGAAGAAAGCAAAACAAAGCCTGCATAACCATTCTTGAGAATTCAGCACAAGAGATCATGAAGAGAATAGACCATCACTAGTTTTAGAACACAAAGCAAAAGAAATCAGCACTGAGGAATATACTACAATACAGCTCTTTGCTGGCTCCAAATCTTGAATCTAGCATGCAAGTTGCACCAATGCTTTACTTTAAACTGGCAGCATAGAATGAATCACCAAACTATGATATCAAGAGAAATTTTTGTTGGCTCATTACATGTACTTCACATTTGTGTTAGAGAGTTATTCATTTGGCTATGCTGATTCCAATGCCCCACTGGTAACAGCAGCATCTTCAGCAAACCATAACAGCGCAGGGGAATAGATCCCTCATAAAACTTCACTCAGATAAACCCAAAATACAGATTTGGTTCAAGTCATGTACAAGGGTGTTGAGAGTTTCAGTCTTATCTTTAAAGTTAAAACTGATGAACAGATTGCAAGGTGTATGTAGAATTACTTCTGTTTAGAACCAAAAGCAGCCCTGCTCTCTACTACCCCACCCAATAAAGCCCTACTGTCCTCAAAGTGAGACATTTTCACACTGTTCACAGGTAAAGTGAGCTAAAAGACAAATGAAAGAAGCAAGGGACAAAGTCATAACTGACCATCACAGACTTTTTATAACTGATCTGTAGCATTTGGAGATTAAGTCACTTTGTTTAAGAGGAAAACAGGTAAAAAGGATATCAACCCTTCTGTGATCTGACATAATGTGAAATTCATGAAGTTTAAGTCATTCCAACTCTACTACTGAATTAAAGCAGCAACTTCTACTGACATGTGTGTCTTGAGAAAGACAAAAAGCTGATTAAGCTGTGACAGTTAACATGCTGCTTCTTATACTTAAATCCAGAGGGAATTCTAAAGCTTTTCCTTACCTCAATGGCCAAACCGAGAATCCTCCTTGTGCTTTCCAAAGACTACAAAGAGAATTTTAAAATGAGTGCATTAATTGTCTGTGTATATTTATATCTATTTATATATCTATCTCAGTGAGATAGGCAATGAGTATACAAAGGTTCATCAACCTGTTTATATCTAATACATGCTACAATACAGCCATAGTAGCAGCACATTACTTTTTTTCCTTGGTTTTTAGTCCTTGCTTATCCCATTGGAAAGTCATTATAAAAGGAGATATATTCAAATCGGTTTTAGTTAAATAAGAAAGTCATGAAGTATCAATATGACTAACAATACTGTAGGTACTCAACCTGCATTGTGTCTCTGTAGTCAGGAGTTGGGTGGGTGATCAGTGCTCAGTCAAGCAGGTGACTTTACAGTTCAGAAGTTTAAATTCATTCTTATTTTTAGGAGCAGTCTTCACTCCAGTATTAGCCAAGTAAAGTGAAAATTTAAAACATTCAGCTATACCCTTGCAGAATCAGTACCCTAGTCTGTCTATTTTAAAAAGGATATTCTAATTTCATCAGGCAAGTATTGTAATCCTAGATATCTTCCTACAATATTTACCTCATCAGTGACCTGGTTGGCCCTCAGCTGAATTTCTTCTGGTGATAGTTCTTCCATGATGAGGTAATATTACTTGTAAGTAATCACACTAAAGAGAATCTTCCTCCTGTAATAAGAGACACCAGTTAAGCATCATATTTATCCTTTCATCAGTATTTAGAGTTGAAACTAGAAGGTAGTTCAAAGAATGAAAGCCTATACACTTCATTCTGCTTAGTACAACACCTAGTTAGGACTAGAAGACACTAAAATAATTATTCAGCTGATATGACCTAACTTAGGAGCTAAGAGAAATACAGGAGCAACTGGTATATCCAATAATTTCCTTTCCAAGACTTGGGTTCCTAAACAGCTTTTGAAAACTCTATTGTTATTTTAAGGTAAAAAAAATAAATCAGGAAATTAGGCCTTAAAATAACAAGTTTCCCCACGTTGGAAAAGCACATGGCTTTGCCCAGTAATCCAGAAACAAATTCATTTAGACCTTTAAGTTACTAGCATAAGTTTTAAGTGTTCTTTCCATTCCCATTGAGGGATTTCAAGAGTCATAAGAAGGGGAAACATTTTCATACATAAAACACCACCTAAAATGATTCCAGTCACACTCCAGAAGTAGTTGTTGTTATGGTATGGTGAATCCCTCAAATGCAGAAGCACCTGCAAAAATTTTAATTGGTATTTATCACTCTGTAACTGTAGCAAAGGTTTTCAAATCTACCTCTCTAGTAGATTTGGCTACCCAAAAGTTCACATGCCAGCATAAGCACAACTGCTGGATGTACAATGTAACCCTACAGACTGTGTTTGAGTTACCCAAGAGCCATATTGCAGCCAATGCTACACAGGACAACAGTTTCTTGACTTTTGAGGTAAGGGTATGACAATAATGTTCTCAAACAATGCATAAGAAGGATTTGTTTGTAAAATAAGTCTTTAAAGGGTAATAAGACTCCTATCTTCGAACAGTTGTTTGCAAATGCATTATACTACTACCTTCATGCCAACAAAACATCTTAAAATCTGAAGAAAGAGCGTATACTTTTTAATCAGATACTGAGTTTTGTGTTTTATTCAGTACTGCCAGAACATTGTGCTGTGCTACTAGAACCACATGTTCACGGAGAAACCATTGGAAGAACAAACTAGCAGTGAGGTTGAAAAAGAAGGAAGACAACAGCAGTTAGCACTTCCAATTACCACACTAAGAAGACTAGGTAGTGCAGTTTGGATGGTAACTTCATGACATTATGAATTAACTTCAAAACTGAAGCTTACAGAAACCCTACTAAATTAAACCCTGGGCTTGACAACTGTGATCTTATTAATAAAGTCCTATGAAAGATAATGCCATGCTGAAATACGGTAGTAATTACCTGAAGAGACATAACAATCACATGAAGAGCTACTTCATGTACTGTTAGCTATCAAACCATTCCCGCTCAACTTTGTCCTATTTATGTTAGCTGACGGAGGAACTACCAATCCATTTTTGACACAAATAATGTAACAGTAACACACTAAACCAGAAAGTGTCTGAAGTTGTATCTGACATTAGATAATTGCTTGAAAACACAAGTATTTGCCACCAAATCACAGAAGTTCAGTAGTAAGGGTAAGGTTGGAAGGAACCACAGTGGGTCATCTGGTCCAATCTCCCTGCTCAAGCAGAGTCATCCTAAAAACACACTGCACAGGATTGCATTCAGAGGGTTCTGAATATCTGCAGTGAGGGAGACTCTACAACCTCTCTGGGCAGTCTGTTCCAGTGCACAGTCACCCACACAGTAAAGTTCTCCTCATATTCAGATGGAACTTCCTGTGCATCAGTCTCTGCCCATTGCCTCTCATCCTATTGTTTGGCACTACCGAGAGAAGAGCCTGGATCCTTCCTCTTTACACCTGCATTTCAGACACAGACATTGATGAGGTCCCCTCTCAATCATCTCTTCTCAAAGTTGAACATGCCCAGCTCCCTCAGCTTTTCCCGGTATGAGAGAGGCTCCAGTCCCTCAATTATCTCTGTTGCCCCCCACCAGACTTGCTCCAGGAGCTCCATATCTCTCTTGTTCTGAGGAACCCAGAACTGGACACAGGACTCCAGATGTGACCTCATCAGGGCTGAGTAGAGTGGCAAAATCACCTCCCTCGATCTGTTGGCAATGCTCTTCTAATGCACCCCAGAATACCATTGGCCTTCTTGGCCACAAGGACACAGTGCTGGCTCATGGACAGCTTGTTGTCCACCAGGACCCCCAGGTCCTTCTCTGCAGAGCTGCTTTCCAGAAGGTCAGATCCCAGCCTGCACTGGTGCAGAGGGTTATTCTTCCCTGGGCGCAGGACCCTGCATTTGCCTTTGTTGAATTTCAGACAGTTCATCTCTGCCCAGGTCCTTCTGAAGGGCTACACAGCATTCTGAAGCCTCAGTCACTCCGCCCAGCTTTGTGTCATCAGCAAACCAGTTCTAACAGCTGACAGACAAGCTTTGTGTTCTCCTAGATTGCTCACATCTTCCTGAATAGTTCCACTGCCAGTCAGCAAGAAGTTCTATGGAAACCCATAGCACTCCTCCACTTTCCCCTTAAATCAATGGTATTTGGTCTTGAAACTGTTTATAAATTGATCTAACGCTGAAGAAATATAGCTGCAAGATGTAGAGGAAAAAACCCTTCCACATAGCAGACAGAGAAAATCCAGGATTCCTCGAAGCTGAGGTAAGCATGTGTTTATCTTCTGATGCTCATATTTGGACACATAATGTTTTGCCTCTTGTGAAACGAAATCATACTCTAAAACAATATTTCACACAACTGCAAAGACAAATGACCTATGTGCGAGGAAGCTAAGCAAAACCACTCAGAACACTTGGTTAAGAGATAAATGTTCTGACAATCTTTTATCATGGATAATAGGGTACAGTTATTTTCTAGTCTTTTCTGATAATTTAAGGTCTTATGACACTGAGAATAATGAGAGAACTCTTCTTTCTCTATACTTCCCAGCAAGCTTACTCGCCTTCACTTTTCAGCCATTGTCTTTAGAGCTATGCAAAACAAGATAGCATTTTCTTCTTAAAACAGGCTCAAGAAAGCACTTTTTGAATTTGTTTTATTATAATTTCTGTTTAAAACTGAATATCCAAACCCAATACGATAGATTCCAAAAAGACAGTTTTATTCCCATTAGTTTGCAGCATTGCTTTTGTAAGCCCACACATAACCTGCACAGTAGCTCTGCAGAGTCAATTAGTGCCATAAAGCAGAATAGAAAAAGGACATTCCCTAGGCAGTAAAAAGACTTTTCACCATACAGCAGTTTAAAACAGTCAAAAAAGCACACAACAGTAATTTAAAAGAAACCAAACATTTCCAAAAAAGCCTGTTTCCAGAGATGTAAATACACACTTGATAGTTGCATGCCTAATTGGAATAGCTGAACACACTATGTGCCTTTACTGCAAGATATCTCTGAAGAAGTTACAACGCCCAAGATGACATCATTTGTATTGAAATAACAACTCAGCTATTCCAACAGAACACAGTATACACACATAAAGGATACTCATTCGCCCATCTTTCTGCCGAGGAATCGAAGCACCCATGAGGTATCCAGCTCTTAAGTTAATGGTACATGACAAAATGATTCTGTATCCAAGGCATTAAGATTACTCAATAAAGACAAAATATACAGAGAGAAAAACTTGATATGGCTAAAGTGTACCTAACATGTATTTTTATTATGATAATTGCCAAGGCAAGCATTTAGTTTAATATCCATGTTCAATGCCTATTTGTTTTGCTTTCCCTCTCCTTCCATTTTAAAAATCCTAACCACAAAGTAACCAACGTGAAAAAAAGAGGACAGCCTAAAATGAGACTTCATAATTATAATGGAACAACAGTCCGCTATTTTAGTTTATTTTCTCTCTAGACTGGCAAGTTTTAAACAAGTAACTAATGTGCCTAAATACAAAGTAAAACTCCTTTGAAGAAGGATGTGATGTCAGCTGTATTTACTTTTCATTATCAAAAAGTATTCTGCAGTATTTACTCAGTTACCAACCTGCAAGGATTAAACGCATTTCAGTACAAGTCTCCCTCAGCCCCTTACATAGGAAGGCCAGGTACCTACAGACTACGCAAAACTAAACTTGCTACAAAAATACATCTTCATGAAGTAGTGAGCCTCATGAAACTTTTCTACCAGGAAATTTAAGACTACAACACATTCATATAAAAAAAGGAAGATTCATTGTGAAACAAGAGCAACAAAGAAATAAATGCATGGTCTGCAAATCATAATAATCTGATTTTATTTTGGAGATCATGAGGGCAGAAAAAGTTCCTTGAAATTCCAATTCCAACCACAATGTTATCTCTTCATAACTCCTGTTAGGCTAAGCCACCCCATAAGCTCACCACTATAATGCATTTTAAAGTTATGGTATTACTGCCCAAGCCAGCTGAGGATGGTTTAGGCTGAAGTTACTTCTATCTCTTGGACAAGAGGAACAGTGAGGTAAAAGAAAACAGATTTATGTCTGCACATACATTTTTTCCACTTACTCTGCATTTAGTCATGCCTCTAAAAACTGTGAAAAACTTTCAATTCATCCTCCTATGTTAGGTTCTTAGGTTGGAGATGACCGAGGAAAAGAAAGCAAGGGTGATTTTACAGAACTGTTTAAAACCTCAAGATATTTCCTGCATTACAAGCACTTTTGGGCTGATTTTGGTATGGTGCCAGATCCATTTAAAGCATCTCGGGCTTAGAGATCTTAATTTGGTTTATCAACACACCCATACAGCAGCTGAAGCATTTTTGTAGGTTCTTTGTCTAATTTGAAAAAAACTGGAGAGTGACACAGAGTGATGTCAGCTATGGTTATATTTATATTAGCAGTAGGGTGGTCTTGTGAGAAGATGGGACAAATTTTTGCTTGGGAAAAGCACTGCTCACGTGGCCATATTTCAGGTGGATCAGTCACAAGTGTTGAATCAGAGTTCTGTCCCAACCCCAGCTATTGAACTGAGAGCTAACATCTGCCAAGCCGTAACTTTTGTAGTGCAATAGCAGCAAATTCAGTGTTAGCAATACCCACAGTGACCTACTGTCTGCATGTACACATCTTCAATTCTAAATATCTGCTTGTGATCAGAAAGCCAAGGCAGTATCACTTCATCCAACAGCAGCTCACTGGCTGGGTTTCCTGAAAATAGGCAAATAAAAACCACTGGAGGGGGAAAAAAGCATTTGAATTGACAGACTCTCAAGATCCAAGTACTGTTTTATGCAGCCAGGAACAACATAATTCATCTTGGCCACTCACCTTCCCAGATCACACAGTAAAAATTAACATGAAATTTTTTTTGTTGTCCCTCTCACTGGTCTAAGATACTCCTCTCTACAACTAAGGGTTTTCATTTTCATTCGGAATTACTTGCAAACCGGAAGCCAGCTTTTTATGCCAACACACTCAGTCTCCAATGTAAACAAGTTCCAAAAGCCAGTACAACAGTGAGGCTGCACAGTGTTTTCAAGGGTTTTTCAATACCAATAATCTTCTTAGGCTTATGATACACTTCCAAGGTATTATAAGCTATAGTAGGCAATTTACATGCTGCTTGAACATGTTTTTCTTCAGCACTAGTTGAGAAGAAATTCTAATGCTCATTAGTTCTAGGAAAAAACACAACTTGCTTCCTTTCTTTATGATAGTCATGACACATTCAGGTTGTGCTATCCAAAGCACTTGAAACCCTTACTGGTCTTTATGAATTTAAATTAACTGCAGGGCACCACAAGACCTAATAAAGTGCTTGTTCAACTCCAGTTACACAGTCCATGTCTGTAAAAGACTACAGACAGGAGCAGGCTGCCAAAAGTGACAAGTTGACTTGCATCAGACCAATAAATTGTTTTGATTGCTTGCACTTTTACAAAAGCACCCTGAGTGATAAGACTTTTGTCCTGCATCTCTGGCTCAAGATCTGCAACAAGCAGCAGTTTTGTGCCTCTGACAGGCAGAATACCTTTCAGAAATTTGTCATATATCCACCACATTTGCTACATATCATAAATTGATCCCTTACTCACCGTCTGAGGGTACTCTATTTGAACCCAGTCCCTTTGCTATGAAGATACGTTTCTAATCAATATAGCAAAATTTTCTTCCTTCTTTACCAATAACTCTAAACTAAAAGCTAAACACAAATGTTTACCAATTGTTGTGCATTTCAGGTTTTTTTCTGCTGAAGATGTTTTGGTAACATCGATAACACACAGCAGACTGTGCTTTGGTTCCATAAAGGGAGAATAAGTAAGGCATCCACAATTTTCTTGTGAGTAGGAAGTAAAGTGAGAGAAGAAGAAATCAACATAATACTTTTGGCCATGGAAGACAATGGCTGTGAGAACTGAAAGTTGGCATAAGATTATCTCTTTAATATCAAAACCATAAGACTTATTAAGGTTACTCATTTTTATAAATTCATGATATCAAAGAATCCTACCCTTTCTACTTCCAAATAACAGTATCTGACTATCTCTTCACTTCAGAAGAAAGAGAAAGTAATTCTTGTACTCTACCCTTTTAACACAAGCCACTAGTAAGAATATTAAAACCCCTACAATTCCCAATTCACTAATTCTTTCATGGGATGTTTCATATACATACCAGGGAAAGAAAGAATAGCTACTTTCCAGTACATCTAAAAGTAAGATTGAGAAACGCAGCCTATGCCATTTTATCACAAAGGGAGGAGCTAGGTGATGACAAAACCCTACTGTTGCAGCAATTGACTGAAAGCCAGAATCCCATGAGTTGTATTTTTAGCCATCAGTGAATTGGTACAGACTCAGGTGATTGTGGATGCTCTCAGTTCTTTCACTTATAAAGCAAACTGTTGGCTTCACCAGAAGACAGAAAAATTCATGAAACAATATTCTTAGAAACATGAATTATTAAATGTATGTACATGCTTGTAAAGATCAAAAATTAAACAGTTTACAAGCTAGGTACCTTTGTGTTTAGGGTTGGAGGCTTTTGTTCTTTCAAATTCATCATCACTAATTTAGTTATTGTTTTCTTAAAAACCCTTTCTTTCTTAACACAAGCAATTATTCTACTTGTTAGTTAGCTGAAATTCAGCCCAGATAATGCAGGGTAGCACAAGGCATCAGCACCAGAATGTACTCCTCCACATGATTATGCCTACAAGAAAAATTAATAAAGCATCTGTGACCCTGGGGGAAGAGGCCAGGGCCCAAGAACAGGACACAACTCTGCATGCTTCCTGCTTTCTTATCAGCTTCCTGAACACACTGCACAGAGGCGATAGCACAAAGAACGGGCGTGAGCAATGCCACCTCCTCTGTGCAGCGTATCCAGTTCTGTACTCATCTCAACAATTCATTTTTGTCCCTGGAAAAGCCTCATGAAACCTCCTTCAAATTAGTTACTGGCCAACAGAATTTTATAGTCAAACTTTGATTCACATACAGACAGTAACAGATTCCATTTCTTCTAATGACACAAATTGTGCTGTATAATAACCTAGTTCAAAAACTGCAGAGCTGAGGTCAGGCATTTATTACTAGAATGTCAGTAAGCAATTAACTGCTCAATTCCATCAGTCAATCAGTACTGTAGGAGGCTTTCCCTTTGTCCCTATACACCTTCCTACATAGCTGTTCTCTCTACAGCACAGGAGCAGGTTTGTTTATGAAGGGGAAGTAAAACAACATCCTTAGTTCTGAACACTGAGCATCTACTGTCCTTTTTGAGGGAGCAAAAAAGAGGAAGGTAAATAGCTACAGAAGTTGCATAAAGAAATTTCCGAAGTTTCTTAAGTTTGTGTACTTAGGTTGTCAAATCACGTGTATTGATTTGATAACCTTCTTGTGTGAAACAGAAAGTGAAAAAAGGGGAAGAAAGTGAAAAATAAAGCTGACTCTTATTAGCTTCCCAGAAGAGCCAAGGGTATCGAGACATACAGCTGAGGGAAGCACCAAAACACAGGTTACGTTCGATGCTTTCTGATTACCACTACAACATGTTACGGCTGAGTTCAAAGGCAGCCGGGTAGAACGTAGGTTTAAGAAGACGCAGCAATGGGTGGGTTTTCTCCTGTATCCTATCAACAGCTCAATTCACGGGCTCTCGCCAAGCAAATAAAAACCACAGGCAGGGGGGAGCCCGCAAGGCCTCCCCGCACACGAGGGGACGGGCGCAGCCCAAGGCTGAGGCGGGGGCTTGGAGGACCCGGGTCCGCCTCCGGCCTCGCCGCGTCCCGGCCGCCCCCTTACTCCGCGCAGGCGAGACCGGCCGGCAACCGCGGCCGGGCCAAGGCCGCCTCGGCCCACAGAGGCTCCCGCCCGCCCCGCTCAGGGCGCTACGAGGCAGGAGAGCGGCCAAGGACCGAATCCGCCCGGCTACCGCCTTGCCCGGGGCGCTGCGAAGCTGCAAAGCCCGCCCCGCCGCACACCTACAAGTACCAGCGCCGCCGCTCCCTCCGCGCCGACCGGGCTGGGCGCGCTCAGCCCCCATTTAAGGTCCATGTCCCGCCGCGCCCCCGCTGCGAGCGCCAGCCCCGCGCGCGCCGCACCGCCCCGGAAGCGAGAAGCGGGGCACCGCCATCCGCCACTCCCAACATTGCGGCGGGAAATCAAGCCGCCCCCGCGGGTAGGCCTCGGTCACCCCTCATGGCGCCGCGCGGGTTGGGCACATGAAGTGGCCGCCCGGGTCGTGCGGGATGTGCCATGCGGGGCGTGCGCGGTGTCCATGCAGAGTGTGTGGAGCGTGCGCCGTCCGTGCGGTGCCCCACGGTCCGGCCGCGCTGAGCGGAGCTGCGTTAGCAAATAGCGCAGAAATAGCCCTGTTTGTATCAGCGAGGCTTTTCCTCCAGTTAAGTTTCTCTCTATTAGGACGATGCGTGTCAACTCTCTTCTGTCACCAGCGGAGAGAACGAGGGCAGAAAGGGAAAGCTGCTGTTGGCAGTCACAGACCTTTTCCAGCTGGACCGGGCAGCCTTTCCCAAGATGTATTCCTTCTCGGGTGTGGATGCTCAGGTTGCTGTCGGATCCCATACCTGCTGCAAGGTTGCAAGCACTGCCAGTACTGCCGAGAGCTCTCACAGCACCGGGGCCGCAGCAGCTTACGCGGCTCGTTGAGCCTGTACAAGGTCCCTCTGCCAGTGAAACTGCTGCGATCTCAGGCCCTTGGTTTCCCTCCTCTCCCTCTCGGAGCATCTCGGGATGTTCTGAGCTCCTGCGGACTTTGGCTTCACAAAAAGTCCCAGTGGAGTAAGGTTATTGTACGCTGCAAAACGCGGGCACGAGCCCGTTTGTCCTCCTGTATTCCAAACCACCCCTGGAGCAGATTTCCCGGACGCAGACGCCCTGGCAGGGCCGGCCCAGCACGATGTTCGTGGCTTCTCGTTGCTGAGGTAACCGCGGCCTTCGGCTCCTGCATTTTAGAGCGGCAGCACGTGGCAGTATGTGTGTTTACAGCGCTGTATTTACATACAACAGCAGTAACATCATTATGGGTTGCGAAATGCCCGCAGCTGGCCGCGGTGCCGCCGCCCTCGCCGCGAAGCTCCCGCGCTGCCAGGACTGCACTTCCCGGCAGCCCTCGCGGGCACGCAGACGTGCCTCCCGGCGTGCAGCGAGGCCGCCGACCCATTTGGCTGTGCGGGCCGCGGCCCCGCCCGCCGCGCGCGCGGGTCTGTGCGGGGCGGGCCCCGGCGCGGTCCGAGCGGGCGGCGAGTGTGGGGGCAGTCGGGTCCGGGCCTCCGCGGTGCCGCAGGGCGAATGGCTGCCGGGCCGCTCCCCCGGCCAGGGGGTGCGAGCTGTGAGTACCGGGGCTGCGCAGAGCAGAGCGCTCGGGGAGCGCTGTGGCCGCGGCGGCCGGGGGTGGTGGGATTCGCTCCGGTTCTAGCGGACGGGGAGGGTCCTGGGGGGGCAACGTGGTCAACGCGGCCCGGAGAGGCTGCGACAGCGGGGATCTGCCTTGAGGCGGGCATGCTCCTTGTTTTGCCTGGTGAGCATACTGTAGTGCTGCAATGATCCCTGAACTTTGTTATCCTGCTAGACCCGAGCTTTGTTAGAGCAGGATCTCTGTTACAGATGTGGAGCTGCCGTGCGGTCTCTTCATACCTGCCAGCAGCGTTTCCAGGGATGAACTGTGGCTTTGAGTAGAATAGCTTAGTTACCTTCCTCGTAGCATACAGCTAAAAAAATGTGTCGAAGTAAAATCATGTATGAATGTGGTGATAAGTATATAGTAGCCTAAAAGAAATAGGACTTATAGTGTGAAACAAGCCTTAGTTGTACGGTGAAACATGAGGTACCATGTGATCATTCATCGTTGCAAGCAGGGCAGTTCACATGCAAACTTAAATTATATTAAGAGCTGTTCAGGGGTGCTTATGAACTTTAGTTCATAAAAGTTTATGAAACATGGGATAGTGCTGGCATTGATGATTCAAGCTTATACCTCAGTATAAATAGTAGTATCCTCATTGATAATGGTTTGATCAAAATATCCTCTCGCAAGTAAAAATGTTCCTTTTCACCTTCCCTCCTTGCTGAAGTCCAGGTTTAATGAACAAATGGGTTCTGAGGCATGACCTGAGAGAGAAGAGGATTGAGGTTTCCTGGACTTTGTTTTCAACATGAGTTCCTGGGTCTGCATTTCCTATGTGTTTGCTGGTATTGCTGTTCTTTTGTTATTTGCTACTTTTTTAGTTAAGCCTCAATTATTACATGAAGCTAATTGACTGTTTTGCTGAACTCATAGATCCTAACCTTAAAAAAAGACCATTTAAGCCTTCCAAAAATTTGGTTAATACCTTTTCTGAAGTTTGAAAGTATATCTTCATTAGCACTGCAATATTTGAGATTACTACTGATGGCTCTAAGGGCCAATATGATGTGGCTCTGTAACTTCTTACCTTGGAAAATAGATTCCTATCCTGAAGTCTCTTCCATTAGAGGCAACTGTATTAGCTTTTTTTTTTAAGTCCTTGCTTGACTTCAGCTGAACTGGCAATTCAAGGCAGCTACATTTACACCACTGTGTATGTTCCACTAATGACTGATTTTTGAATGTAAAGGTAGTTAAATACTTGCTATAATCTGGCATTTTCAATTTGGAACAAGTCCTTGGTTTTAGCTGAACTGTATTTATCTGTTACTTGAGTCAGTTTGGTTGCTGTGACCAATCTTTGGGTACCTTCTAGTCTATATGTCCAAAAATGCCACGTGTTTGTAGAGATGCCATCTTACTTTATGCAGGACTGTAAATCCAGTGAAAAGAATGACAACAATCATGATCCTCCAAATACGTACCCAAATTGTGTACAGAGGTACTACGACTTGTAGATAACTTTATCTAGGTAAAATGGAGGTATTTTCCCATAATTTCTCTTTCCACTTTATCTTGTAAAGACAAAATTCATAACATATCAAGAATCAAATTTAAATTTTTTTAGAATCACATTTAAATTGTTAAAGCTCTTCTTAACATCTGGTCACTGTCTTCTGTGAACTCTGCCACCAGATGGTGTCATAAGATGTGAGGTGTTGTCTGACTCGAGCTCATTCTAGCAAAGTAAGAGGATACTGTGCATTGCAAGTAACTTCTTTGTTTTTATAAAAGTGTTTTTCATATTTGTAGTGTAAACTTTTGGGTTTTTTTCATCAAGTCCTAGACTATTTTACGTTTTGGTCCTAAGATGATGGAGCTGCTATTGTTCAGCCTGGGGACAAACTGCATTACGGAGATGGAATCATTTAGACAGATCCCTGTCTTTCTATTACTGGGCAATTAATGACTGCTATCTTAATGTTTGAGATCCTTACCTTGAATTTTCTTGGCATGAAAGCTCCTCATACTGAAGAGTGACCTGACTACCTTGGCTCAAGTGCCTCAAATCACCCTCCAGTGGTTTTTCATACTCTGTAATGACAGTATAAATAGAGGAAGCCCAATTACAGACTGAATACTCTCCTTACTTGTTCTTTTGTGTCTATATAGATCTTTCTTAGGGAGCCTGAGTTATTTTGACAAGGCCAGGTACCTGCTTCTGTGGAACTGCAATAGATGGGATGTATAGAGTAGTCTGTTTCGATGTGGCTTTTGAGTCCCTGTTCTTAACTTCTAATCAGTGAAAGAGACATTTCCTTCCTTAGGAAGGAAAAAAGAGAGTACAACTAAATGTTACAGAAATAAGTGTCAAGTTAAGTGTCTGGTATTTCTGTAATTCTTAAGGAGGTCTGTATGTTGAAGACCCTTTATAAAGCGACTCAAGGTTACCAGAATAAGCTGGTAATGTGAATTCTCTTGTAAGTCACAGAAATATTTAAATCGATTTGGTTATTTTTCCTACATCTTGTGGATCACTATGTTGCTTCTTAGTAAGACTTTGTCTCAGTAATTTTCAATTATATTTGAGGCTGTAACAGTAGTAGGGGTAGGAAAATTCCCCACTCCAAAAGGTGGTTGTAGGCGTCTTAGATGGAGTACTATGTCCAGCTTTTAAGAATTCTTTTGAAGTGCTTTGGGCAATCTGGAAAGAGGAACAACAATTTTAATAGACTCAAGAAATGTGATATTTGAGGAAAACATCTGAAGAAAACGAGTTTGCATATACCTTAAAACAAACTGGGAGTATAGGGGAAAACAGAAGCTTTCCGGGTATATGCATTTTAGTGTTCTAAGTGACAGTATACAGCAGTAATGCTGAACAGCACTCAATTCCGATTAGGACAGAGTATATTCCTGAATATTCTGATGAGTAAAAATCTGTTGTAATAGCAATAAGGCATTTACTTTCACTAGGGAGAAATGATCTCGATTTACAGCAAGGAAAACTTAGTTCAGATATTAAGAAATTATTAGCATTGCTATGTATAGGGAATTAGAAAGATTGCAATTTGACTGTGTCTTAAAGTGTATATATACTTCTGGTCTGTGTCCTGTTCTTCGGTTTACATTAAATAAAAATAGAAGTCAATGAAAACTCTGTGTTCATGCCAGGTGTTCCTGTGCCTGCGCTGATCTGTTTAAGGTATTTCTCTACAGTGTCCTTATCTCCAGCATACTTTCCTTGTGCATTGTGAAAAAAACCAGCCATACTCGTGGGATGGTGTTCAAACAGTTTCTGCTAGATGTTTCCTAGGCCAGTTAGTGGACTAAATTTTATTGCTTTTAACAGGAACTTAAAGAACTTCGACCTATTAGCTAAGTCTTCTCTTCCGGCTCAGTGTCAACACAGTTGAACACTTGTCTTCCCAGTTATAACATTTGATGTGCTGCTTCGGTGCTGAGGGGTCTAGTGTACCCTCAGTATGTCATGTGGGTGAAATTAAGTCTTGGAAAACAGGGAGAAATTTACCTTAAAAGTTTGGCTTCTGCTACAATATTTTAACTACTGGTGTGTAATATAGTTTTCTCCTTTGCCACATTTAAAAAAAAAAAAACAAACCTGTGATTACAGAGTAGTTTGTACACTGCATGATAGCACGCTGGAGAAGAATAATGACTTGACTATAGTCCTTAAGTTTCTGTCTGTTGGTTGGGTTAAGTTGAACAGAACAACATCTTGGAAGGAAGGTTAAAGCATCTCCCACATGTGCCCAGAAGTAGGGTTAAAGTAATTAGTGAAATTAGTAATACTAACATAGTAAATTCAGATGCCTCAAGGGCAACAAATCTGGGAAGAAAAGATAGTCTGTGAATGTTGCTGCTTTATTCCGTGTAAATTCTGCTTGAGATGATGAAATTTGAGCATAGGCCTCTGTATTATTAGTGTTACTATTCTACAACTCAATTGTTAGGTGTACAATTGGTTGCTGCAGGAGAGAAGTCACTAAGGCAATAGGAATGACACCTCTTTGAGGTGCTGAGGAATATGATGCTGCAGAACATTCTGAATGGTGAATTTGTAGGCTCTTGTTCTTCTCAAGTGTTGCATTTCCACTGCTGTCTGTAGGGGCATGCAGCGTTTAGGCAGGCCTTTAGACAGGCCAGCACTGCTGATCTCTTTGAAGCCTCTTGAGAATTTCTAGGCAGCTGGAATGCCAGGCTGCCTGCCCCACTCCATGGCACTTGTGGCTTTATATAGTCAGACTGTTCAGCCACTAATCTGTAGTGGATTTAATCTTGACGTACGTTTTTAATGTATGTTATCCGGTAAGGTTGAATAACTGTGGACAAATGGATGCTGTAGCAGGAAGTGGTCTAATGCCTTATTTTCTTTGTAGACTATTTTTACTTGTGAGAATTGTTCTCCAAAATCTCTGTAGCAGACTTGCTTAATTTAATTAAAACTGTGTGGCATTTCCAAAGCTCTGTGCAAGTGCAGGCTTTGGGCAAGTTGCATTTATATGACGTTGTAAAATGCATCTCTTTCCTTGAAAACAAACAAATAAAAAATCACTCACTGAACAATTACATTCCCTCAAAATAGAAAGTTGTTGTAACATCTCATTTGTTTTCAATGCTCTACATTTTGCTGTTGACATGTGTTTCTCTCTTAGGTTGTGGTGGGGGTCTTTTTTGGCAAAACCTTATCTTTGCTTGCAGTTTTCTCATTTTTTAGAGTAGCTCGTATTCCTGCTCAAGTTGCTTAAAAGTAGTTTCCTATGTTATAGAACAAGTTGGTGATTTCAAAAGCATGAAGTGTTAAATCTGATAAAAGCTGGAAGGTCGTTTATATTTAAAGTTTGTGATTTGTTGGTGCTGCTAAGAATTCAAGTGTCTGCATTATCTAGAGAAAGCTTTGTTTCTCAAGTTTCTTGGTATGAAAGTTTTGCGATTGGACAGAGCAGTATATGAGGAGATGAAATGCTATCAGTGACCACAGGGCTTAAAAGCTGTCTGGTTCTTGTTGATTTTGCATAGTGACTGAGGAAATACCCTGGATTTATTATGTGATTGGAAGTTCTTTTACAGGGAAATTGAAGTACTTTAATTAAAGTGAGCCATGGGTTTCATAGAAGGATTTGGGAGAAAGCTAAGGATGATGTGAGGTGGTTTATACCTATGTAAGACAGCAAATCAAGAGGTGATCTGGAAATAGGATGTTTGTCTATGTTCTCCCAGTCCCTGTAGCATCTACTGAGTCTCTGCTTCTGAGTCCATGCCTCTGAGGCTTCTCTCTTTAGAGATGAAAGTTCCCTTTTCATAGTGACATCCAATAGCATTTGAATTCCATTAGTATTTTTAGTACTCTGTCATAAGTAATGCCCAGTTGATTGGGCGGTTAGCCGAAAACTCTTCCTGTAATCGTGTATAGTTACTATATATTTTAATTAGCCAAAACAGGTGTAACGTTAGCTCTGCTGGTGGAAGCTATTAAATGTTACGTGCTAACTGGCCTGCTTTTCCTGATTTAAGTCCCAGGCTGCTTTTGCTCTTGTGCAGAATGAATTCTGTAAATACTTGGGTGATCTTGAACAAGATCCTGAGCACATGTAGGGCATTATTCCACTAAACTACAAAGTAGTGCTAGTGAAGGATGTTGGGGGAGTAGAGAGTATTTTAATACAAAAGGAAGTGTCTGAAATTGGTGCAAGGATTAGCAGCCTTGCTTTTCATGAGTACATCCTTATTCATGTCTAGGCTTCGTGAACGAAGATTTAGGAAGGCTCTATCCACATTTGTTACAGGCACGCTGGTGACTTATGAGGCACCTAAGGAGTCTTTCTGCTGTGCCTTTTGCAATCGGATATGTCTATCTCGTATTGACATCCTTATTAATTGCATTAAAACAGCTTTCCTATGTTGGATAGGCATGTAAACCTTTGTCACTTCTGTATGATCAGTAAAGATTCCCTTAGATCTGTTGCAGCTGTGCAGATCTGTGTGTAAACAGTATGCTGATGATGTGCTGCTATGCTTGCCTAATAACTTAATGGAAAATCATGAGGCCTCAATACCTCATTTTCTCTTAATTATTAGCTTTAACTTTCCTTAACTGCTGTCTCAGCTGACACATGTTTAAAACCAAGTTATACTCTTTATATGTGCTTTTAAAATAATTTGTTCCAAAACAGGGTACTTCTATATCCTGACTTTCCATGAAGGCAGGTGCTTTTGCATGCATATCACTGATACCAAATGAATTTATACTAATGTTCTATATGATCTAGGCTGATGCAAACTTCTGAATAATCTTATACATTTTTGGGGGTGATTTGTCAAAATAAATGGCTGTTACTAATGATTCAAATACATCAGGTGCCAATGTGATAAAACTAAAAAGTGCATATTTAAACACTATCATGTATTTCACTGAGGTCAAGAATTGTGGTTAGGGAACATGAGATGATTGAATCTCCTGTTGTGTTTTAAGTGTGTTTGTTTTGATATGATGATGCGAATTTTTTTTAGGGAGGAAACTCTTATGTTGTCTAAAGGTGCAAGGGCTATTGCACCTCTCAGTTCCTTCCCCTTTAAGCTGGACAGATGCTGGTGCAAACCTTAACTGTAAATGGCCATGCACATCTGGAGGTAAAAAGTTACTTGTCAAAGAATTACAATTTGGACTTAGAGGGGTGTGGTTTTGCTTGCTGATTTTTGTTTGTTTACAGTCAGATGGTACCACTGAATGTCAGAGCTGCTTTAACTCTAGGTAATCTGGATTTGGTAAAAATCCAGTTCTTGCCCTTTGCTCACAGCTTCTAGTGATCTGGAGGTTTTGATGCCCCTGATACAGAAGGTCAGTGTTAAACAAGAACTGACTTTGTAGGGTCAACTGTGGAGAAGAGTTATTGATGAAGGCTCTTGCAGTTTAAATTTGATAGTATTAGCTAAATTAGCTCTGAAGTTGCCTACTGTGAGATAGCAAAACTTAAGAGGATTTGTATTTTTGTGTAGTAGGAAAAAGGTACATTTGTTTCCAGTTTAGGGTGAGGAAATGCCTCTACCATGTCCATAAAAATTGACAGTAATGCTCAATCATTCTGCATTTTAAGAGAAAGAAAAGGGAAAAGATTATACCCTGTTACTTAAACAGGCATGCCTGGCTTCGTATTATAACTTAGACAGTTATGTACCTCTCTAATTTAATTGCTCTCCTGATGAGTTAAACATTATGATAAAATACATACAGCATTTAATTTGACCTGCTGCTGCTTTCGTTTGCATATATGCAAGTCTTAAGTAGATCAGTGTTAAAATGCTTAATATTCTGGTGCAAAGTTTTGAATAATCTTGTACTCTTGGGAAAATTAATAGGTTTTATTAATGATTCAAACACATATGGTACCCAAGCAGAGCATGGTGTTAGAGAATGTATCTTAAAATGCTGTCTACATCAGTCTTTCAGTACATGATAATGCATAATTCTTACAGAGGCTAATGAGAAAAATACGAAATTAAATCATGTTAGGTTTTATGAATAAATGGATTGATAAGCCTTGAAGGCTGGTGGTCTTTGATATGAATGGCCTTAGTTTCATTTTCCTTAAATATCTTCCTTGAGCCCTCCTCTGTACCAAAATAAAGATCTGCGTTTGCCCTGCTTGGTTTCCCCAATTCCTCTCTCCTTGTCATCGTCCTAGTTGAAGAGTGCTTTGTTAATCTGATTTGAGTAGCTGAGAGGATTCCTACGGATCTCTGCTTGTAGAATGAGGGCTCTGTCTTGGAGGACAAGAACCAAAATGAAAGAAATGGAAAGCTACTTTTTGCTATAGATGTTTTAGATGACTATTCAAAACTACCTTATCTTTTTTGAAGAATATTGACTATGCATGAGAGGCATGTATTTTCTTAAGCTCAGCACAGGTGTTTTCATGAATAGTAACTTTTTTTACTTTCCTTAGTAAAATGGATTAATGAAAAAGTCATCCTGAACGTTGGTTATTTTTGTATTATTTTTATTTGCAGGTATGGGATAAGATCTTTCCAGAGTAATAAGCATGGTTCGGCAACGAACATGTGTATTATGTCACATTGTGTACAACTCAAAAAAGGTAAATAATCAATGGTCTACATGTATCGGTAAATACTAATATGAAACGTGTATGAGAAATGCTTCCATTGTAAAATTGTGCCAAGTGCGGTTTCCATCTACTAAGTATATATTGCGTGCTTTGGAGTATCTGTCTTGAAATAAACTGTGCAATATGCTTGATTCTGAACACTAGAAATGATGAGGTCTTTGAGTTTTTTATATTATTTTATAAAGATACTAAAGTGAAAAACACAGTCATTTGCTGTAAATTGTGATGTGTTAAGAATACTGTAATACACAATTTATTTTAATTCCCTTTGAGAAGTCTGTTTCCCTATGAAAGGACAAAGTGAAATTGTATAGCACAACATGTATTTTCATTAATGAATCAGTTTGGTGTGCATCTTCTGTGTACTGCATATTATGCAAAGTCTGTGTTGAAACTGAGTGTCTCTTAGTGGACCTTCATGTATTGCTTAGCCACATGGCATGTGGAGGTGTTACAAATACCAGTGTGTTAATTCACACAAGTCTTCAAGGTTGAAGATATTCCTTTCCCTTTGAATATGGGATTTCAAGGGCTAAGGAGGACAGTGATTAGTATCTGTTCTTTGAAGATTTCCAAACACTTTGAGTCAAACACCAAAAGAAAGTTAAATGTTCTGAACTGCTTGTTTTTGCTGAGTGATGAATGTTCTTGCTCTTCCAGTAGCTCCCTTTCAGGAATTAATTATAGCAGCACTGCAATTCGTGGATCAAGGTTGCTGTAAACAACAAACTGACATCTTAGTTTCTGAAGTGCATCTAGCAGAGCAAAATAGTATGTGATGATGAAATTGCAGCTATATTATTACACAAATACAGAGAAATTGCTCAGATTGCCCAGGAAAACTGTTTTAAGTGTCATGATTCTGAACAGTGGTATCAATAAGACTTTTAATTAAAATGACTATCAACAGTAATTTGTAAAAAATTAATCTAATAAGCTTTACTACATGCACTGTTATTCATCTTTCTTCTGGAATTCTGCTTTCCATGTGTTGAATGTTAAGGATTCCTGTGTGTCCTTCCGCAGGAAGGGTGACGTATAACTTCCTGAAAGCATGCCTACTGGTGCTTTCACAGTCACAGAAACAGGAATGGCAACTGCTACAGCCCTGTAGGAGTGGAGCACACCTTTGTGCAAAGCAGGAGAGTTCTCAAAAGTGAGCTTTTCACATACAATATTACCGTTTTGTTTTGACCAATTTTATTTTTTTTCCCATGTTGAAGGAGATGGAAGAACACATGAGAAGCATGCTTCACCACAGAGAACTTGAAAACTTGAAGGGAAGGTATGAGAACAATCTTGCATCCTTCCTCTCTGTGCATTTAGTATGTCACTCTCTGGAAGAGCTCATGATGTATTTCCCATACAAGCAGAATTGCACAATTTATTTTTATGTATCACTTGATAGGATGCCTTGTCATAAAGCTGGCAATGAACATGTTCTCTTAATGCCAGGAACTCAGGAGGCAAACAGAAAAGCTCATCTGCATTTCTTGGACTGCAGTGAAATAAAATTACTTTATTCTAGGCAGTTTCATGCTTGGTTTCTTGGAAGCACTAGAATTCTGCCTTTGGCAGAATCATCAACACTGATGTTTTCCTTTTTAAAATGTTTTGGGATTTTTTAAGTTTTCAACGATGTAGAAACAGATGTTAATCTTTTAAAGCACTGTGAGAAGACTGATATCTGCTTGAGTGACTGCCTTGTTGCTTGCTGTCCTGGTCCAGTTGTGTGGTTAAGGGATTTTACCATGGTGGATGGTGTTTTCTTTCTGGTTAAGGGATATTCAAATATCATCGTAATAATATGGAATCAAGTTGCAACCAGAGTATACTTAAAGGCATTTTCAGGTATGTGGATTTTGACATAGCCAGAGAGAATTAAATACTATCAAATACCTAAGTATTTGATCTACAGATCTAATTTTTAATCATCTTGCAGCACAAACTTTATATGGAAATGGCAAATCTCTTTTAAATGTCTTTTAAAGGACTAAGAAATAATCCTCTTTTCAACTCTTAGAGGTGTGGAAGATTCATCATGTCATGACATGTGTCTTATACCCCAGGAAGGTAGACTCCTTCTGTTCACCAGAGATAAAATGCCAAAATAAGTGAAATTTTCAGCTGATCTCAAAATAATTGTTAGAAGAACAGAAATGCTCTACAAGTTAGCTAACCAGAAGCCAAAAAGCTTCTAGTGCAGAGAGCGTTCTGGTTTCGGAGCAACCCCACCCCAGCTGTTCATTAACAGAAGAAATCCTTTTCACGCTCAACAGAACAGATCTCAGCTGGCAGGATGCACTTGATCCCAGCCACATCTGCAGAACATGTCTAGCTCCCAAGACCCCATTGTGTGGGGCACGGCAGAGAAGGAAACAAAATTATCTGGGGTTTTTTTTGTTTTGTTGTATATTCTTTTCAACTAAGTAGCTGTATGAGGAACATTGAATCTACAATCTGAAGTACACATCTAGTAAATAAAGCTCTTGGTTGCTTTTATATTGGGAATACTTCTGTCATGTTTACCTCAAACTTCTTTTGGCTGCCTTGTTGAACAACTAAGATTATGTGGTGTTCCTGTATGGTAGGGGAATGTGTAGAGATGATCAGTGTGTGTCATGGAGTGTGCTAATTCTGGCTGATATTAGTGGGGATAAGGAAAGAACTGAAGGAAATCTAAATTTCCTTAAGTGAACTCCTAGCCAATTCATTTTCAATTAAAGCAGTTGTTCATATAGAAAAAAATAGTGTGGTTTTTCCTTTGGGCTCATGTAGATTAACAGCAGTCAGAGAAGTCTAGTCACTAGCCACCTGAGTCTTCAGACTTGTCAGTTGGTACAAGAACTACAGCTTTGTAATTAGTAACTCTCAAGTTAGAAGTGATAGAAACAAGTTCTTTGTCCTCAGGCCAGCTGCTAAATCACTGGCTTTGTCCAAAGTAAATACAACTTTGCATTTATTTAGTTAATCTATAAATGAAGATGATAAAAATTTTATGGAAGAATTGAACCATTGATCTTGTGAAGGATGTGGATTGTTCTCTAAAACCTAATTAGTACCACTAGGGTATGTTTCTTGTTGAAGTGTCCTGTTTGAAATTATGTAAAAAGAATATAGTTTTCAGCTTTGTGTGCTGACATAAGTTAAAAATAAGACTTACTAGCTATGCATAGCTGTGCTATTTATGAGTGTGGAGAGGGTTCTTCCAATAGCATTAGTAAATTTAGTGATTTGGTTATCTCTGTTGGATTAATGAGATAGCCCAAAGTAAAATATATAGTATTTGGGCTTTGACTATTTATTAGTGAGCGTGAAGTGTGCAAAATGAAGTACACCCAACTCTGGAAAATACAGACTAAATTTGGAAGCTACTGACCTTGTAAAAAAAATTTATCCAGATGTTTAATCTGAAATTAGTTAGGCTGCAATATACAAAATAATTAAATATAAAAATTCTAATTTTTAATATTTAGTCTGTTTAAAATTAAATCCTTTCTACCTGTGTGTGAATGACTGCATTGGTTAAATATCTCAACTACATTAATAGGAAAACTACTGATATCCTTGATAAATAAAACATAGCTACTGACACTTCATTAACCACTCTGATAAGGATGTTGCCTTAATATCTTGAGTGAAGGTGCATCTTTTCATCTTTTTCTCATTTTATTTTTAACTGTTACCTAGAAAAAATGAGGATTCAAAAAGACGTTTGTCTTTTTCCTTTATGGATCCTACTTTCTTGACCTCAGTCATGAACTGTGTGTTGGTATTAAACTTCCATTCTTAGAATTTGGTCTCAAGTGTGCCATGGGGACATGCAGATCTGCTTTTATTAGCTGGCAGAATTGAAAAAAGTATTGTGGATGCACTCCTGACTTGGTCCTGCTGAGTTTTTTGCAGTGGACTATGCTCTGGTTAATTTTTTTCTGATTTTTTTTTTTACCTGGTGAACATATTTTCCTTGTTTAGGTTTCTTATTAACAACATATTTTCTTAACACTGGAGTACTGAAAGCATTTGTCTGAAGAACAAATATGATATTTTTAGAAATATGAATTTCTTAAAAAGAAAAAAGGTAAAAAAATCTTGTAACCTTAATCCAGTATTCACTGAAATATGAGTAAAGCCATTTGTCTGACACAGCTGTCAACTTTCTCCAGCTGAAATAATTTCTGTATTTTTTAAGATAAGTCCTCTAAAGTAGAAAGTAGACTTCATGCACACTTGAACCAAATAAAGTACAGTGAACTGAAGACACCCTCCTATCACTCAGTGTGCTGTGGAGTCTTTGGATTCCAGGCAGCAGTCTCAGCTGTCCCAGTTTAGGTTATGTTGTATCAGGATTGGCTGTATCCATGTACTGCCTCCTCCCTTTTCTAAATTTCACTGGGGGAAGGCTCAGGGCAAGGATTAAATGTAGAAGCTGTCACCAGGCTTCCCCAGTGCAGCTGGCACCATGGAAGGGCTTCAGAGCTCCTGCTAGCTCTGTAAGCCTTCCACTCTGCCTCCTCGCTCACTATGTTTCCTCTGAAAAGATTTTGAGTACAACAATTCAAGAAGAATTCCTCCTCCCAGTTAACACAGCTTTATTACCAAGTCTCTTACCTCTTGATTGTTGGAAAAAAAATCTTTTAAAAATTGACCATCAAAAAACTAAACCTTGAAAGAAAAAGCTAGAGAATTCAAGTAACTTAAATACACTGAACAAAACCTAGTTGCCGTGAACTCAAGGACATTCAGAGGAAACAAAGTAAGACCAGAGGTGCCTGCCATGCCTGTTGGCAGAGTTGAAAGTCCACCCTCTGCCTCTCTTCCTAGGGAAAGCAACCATGAATGCCGGGTGTGCAGGGTGACATTGGTGGGTTTGTCATCATATGCCAAGCACATCTCCAGCCAGTTGCACAAAGACAATGTTAATGCCCATGACAGAAAAGAGGAAGAGAAAGAAGAGGCAGAAGAAGAATACCTTGACAAAGAACTCATTCAACTAATCAAGCAAAAGAAGGAACGGTGAGTTTTCCTTTCTCCTCTTAGGTACAGAATTGCTTTTAACACAGTGAAGATACACTCTAAGGCTTAGGTGTTCATGAAATGTAAACTGCCTGTAGCCAGTGTACTTGTTGTGAGAACAATCCAAGAGACCTCTGTTGATATCATAGTTTAAATGTGTAAATATGATTCTGCTGAATGTTCTTGTTCTGTTGAGCTACTACTAGTAAAGAAGTACCAGTATTTTCCCTTATGGGTAAAAAGAGTCCCCAGTGTTGTATCTTGTGTTTTGAGAGCCCTAATGTTTTTATTTTAATATTTTACACCCTTTTGACTGAAAGGTTTAATAAATGTGACAGTAATGCTAATATTGTTTAGGGTGGAGGATGTCTGTAAGAACCTGGCCTTTTAGAAACTGTTGCTGAACATGTTTTGTTATAAAACATTAATCTGTCTATTTTTAAAATTAATTGGATTGTTCTGTCAATGTCACAGTGAGTTCCCATAATCCTTGCATGAAATTTCTTACCTGTTTTACCTTGCTGCTTGCCATGAGTTAAACATAGTCTATTGACTCACTATGAAATAGAAGGCTGCAGAGACTAGTAAGTGTTGCCTTTTATTTTCCACGTGGCTCTGCACATGTGCATTGCTTGTATGATGTTCCAGTTGGGAATATATTATTTGAGTAGGTTTATGGCATGGCAATGGTATTAAAGGGGCGTATGATTTTTGAAAGAAGCTCTTGCTTGCTGTGGCTAGAAATTTGAATTAGTGTTTCCAAGTGTTGAAATCTGTTGAGATTATTTGGTTTTGACACCACTCTATCATTCTAGTGTGTCTCTGTACTGCACAATGGTAATGTTTTCATATTGGTCAATGTAGATAGCAAAAATGTCACTTTTCCTGGTTTTATGGTAAAGGAGCAATGCTGTCAGTACAGTGTTGTTCTGAGGCAACTAAAATCTTAGAAAATCTGTCTGCTGGGTGCTCTTTGGAGAAGGGGGAAAAACAGAAAGTACAAGGATTAAGTTACTAATTCAGCAAAATTGTTTCCATTAGATCATAATCTAGTTGAGTCAGCTCTTAAAATTTACTGTGTCACTTAAACATCGTTTTTTGTCTTAGAGCTCAGATTATTTTACACAGTAGACCAATTCCCATTAGAGAGTAATTATTTAGTAATCTTTTAGCAGAACCAGAATGTATTGAAAACTTAAAGGGTGATGCAATATGAATTTTGAGTTTACTCAAATCAATAGTTTTTGGGCAGTGGTGTGAAGGTTTTCTTTCTTGTCCAGGGATCTAGAATGGAAGTATTCCTGTAATGTCAGAATGAAACATTTCTGTAATCAGTTTCTGAAAAAAACTTTTGATTAAAAACTCCTCATTTGGTAGAATAAATACTTTGAACATTTAGACTGCTGACCCTGAGAATAACTGTCGCTATGAAGATAGCATTTGTCTTTAAATGCACATGTGATAGTTTGCCATGTGTTCATGGTAAGTTGCCAAGCACAAGTACTATCCAAGTGGCAGGAGATAGTGCTGCTACAAGGCTCATACAGACTCATTGCTCATACAGACTGTTGGTTAAAACAGGACAAAATATTTTTATATCTCAGGAGCAACTTTTGTGGATGTTTTATATTTGTGTTTTAACTTAAACTTTATAAACTGAGCCATCATCTCAGTTGTTCTCTCCAGTGGGTAGAATAACTGATTTTCCAGCCTAGCTTTTTTTCTGTTCAGTTCACTCTAGTTACACTATCTAACACAAGCATAATAGTCTTCAGAAAAAATAATTATCTCACTGCTAATGAATTTTTCATCTATCAGGATTGTTCAACTTACAAAGATTATGCAACATGAAGAAGCTTTTTTTTTATTATTTTCTTATTAGTCCGATAACTAGTAAATAGAAAGGACTATTATCTTTCAAGGTAAAGAGAAGTATTTAAGAATTAGTCTATTGAACTGTCCCTGTGCTAAATCAGTTGGTCTTGTAAGAGCAATTTTGAAATTACCGTATTTAAGTAAAGGTACAACATTAGTTTGGAAAGTCAAACACCACAGAGGCCTGAACAGCAAAGCAGCTCAATATGTCATCTCTCTTTTTATAATTAATAATAAAAAAATATTTTCTTCCCAGTGCAAATAAAATGCATAAAGCTTGTGGGTTGTTGGATTTCAGTAGAATAGCATCAGAGTTTAGGTTTTTCTCAATTGTTTTGCAGGCAAGCTGAACCAAGCTGTGCAAACCAAGAATTAGAATGTGATGACAGGAGATCACAGAGAAGGAGAGAAGAAAGAGCTACTTACAAAGAAAGAGAAGCTTATGATCAGTCGTCGTGGCATCATCATAATGCATCGCAAAGGGACTGGAAGTGGGAAAAGGATGATTATATTAGTCCTAGACAAGGCAAATTTTCACACTCTCAGAGGAACCTCAATATAAACAGACATTCAGGTGGCCCAAGGGGGCGCTCTGGGTGGCACCAGAATGTTTCAGGAAGCTCTTCAAATTGGCATAACTATGGGAATTCTGGAAGTGTTCGGCATGCAGGTGGGCGAGGAGGAGGAACATCAAATTGGCATCACGGTGCCAGAGAAAGAAGTTCTACTTGGCACTCAGAGGAAACAGGTCATTTTTCTAGCTGGAATTCCAAGAGTTATGGAGGAAACTGGAAACCGAGTCCTCATGGTGCAAATGGCTGGAATTTTGGAAGCTCAGGAGAGTCGTATTCATCAGAGCCAATTAAATACAATAAGGAAAGGTATACATGGCAGCGGCCAGAGAAAGAGGATGTTCCGCCGTACAGGAATCGAAGAAATAGGAGTGACTTGCACGATTTTACTAGCGATAAGCTTCCTTCTGAGGGGGCGTTGGATTTTAGTACGTCAAAGCAACCAGAAAGCAAAACTTCAAGAGCCAGTGGAAAAAGCGTCAGTCCTTCCAGAGATAAAACATATCGCTGGACTCCCTACCCGTCACAGAAAGCTGCAGAGCAGCAACCATGGTCTGAAGATAATGTTTCTAAAACTCCAGATAAAATGGATTCTGTACTTATGGCTTCTACTGATTCATCAATGAAAGGAAAAACTTGTGAAGTCAGTGTTAGCCTTTCAAAACTTAAAAACCAGGAAGCATCTTCCTCTTCTAATGTAACCTCAGATCACCTTGATTCTTGCCAGGTAATGAAAGACTGTTCCAGTGGTGAAAAGCCTAACAAAGATGATAGCGGAAGTAATAAGATGCCATCACTGAAATCCCCTCTTCTGAATATCACAGATATGAAGTTATCCTTGACAAAGCAAGACACAAACAGTCTCTTAAAAAATGTCAAGCTTCTTTTATCCTCAACTGGTAGTGAAGAGCAGAATCATTTGAATGCAGTGAACTTGGAAACAAATGGTTTCTCCTCTTATTCATCAAAGCTGCATGGTGCTTGTGCTGGTAACTTACATGACAACAAAGATGTGCTTGGTAGCAATCTTGGAGAACCTGTTAATAACTTAAGTGAAGCAGAACAAAAATCTGAAGATGTTCAGTCCAACCATTCCTTGCACAATGCTCCCTTAAGCTCTGGCAAGGATACAAGTGACCAGAATAGGGAAGAAACTGGGAAAGCATTGCCAAAGAAGGAGTTCAGACTAGATTCATTAGAAGATGTGAGCGGTGATGATTTAATGGGAAGTGAGAAGTCAGAAGCAAGTGTTGACAAGTTGGGTTCTTCTGTTAGGTCTTGTTTACCCTGTGACACTCCTGAAGGTAGACTTGCCACCTCTGAAAAGAAAGATGATGAAAAGCTAGCTGCTTCAAGTATTACTTCTGCTGAACTAAAAAATTTTACATTTCGGATAGAATCCACGGTTTCTCCATTAAGCAGTCAGGATGGTTTGCATGTGGATTTGAAAACCTCGCAGGATGGAGAAGGGAATGAAGAGTGTGTCAAGTCACATGATCAATTTGAAATGGAAGGTTTTGAAAATCCTTCAGATAATGAGCTTCAAAAAGGAGGAAGCCAGTCAGGAGGCCTTCTTCCTGATTTAAGCAAATTTGGCCTCCCTGCTTCTCTGCAAAGAGATCTGACGCGGCATATTAGTCTGAAGAGCAAAGTTGGGACACATCTCCCAGAGCCCAATCTCAATAACGCACGGCGCATTCGGAATGTGAGTGGCCATCGGAGAAGTGAGGCAGAGAAGGAGTCGGGGCTTAAACCCACCCTCAGGCAGATTCTTAGTGCTTCCCGGCGAAATGTAAACTGGGATCAGGTCATCCAGCAGGTAACCAAGAAGAAACAGGAACTTGGCAAAGGTTTACCAAGGTTGGTAGCTTTCCTCTACCATTCCTCTCTGGCCATGTTGAGGGGGGAGGGTTATTTTTCTCCATATCTGAAATGAACTCCAAAATCTTAAAACTAAGACTTCATAATGAAGCTTGCTATGCCATGATCTTTTGCATATATGAATAATATAGTGTTTTCGTCGTTGCTGCTGTGAACGTCTATCCATAGGTAAGTAATAGTAATCTGATTAATACATTCTGATCAGTTCATAATGGTTACTTTAACATCTGAATATGGATGGTAACAATATGTCTGTTTTTCCAGTTCTGGTAATTGGAAGAATGTAAATTGCCATCAGGATGAGAACAATGCTGCTTATTTCCTTTTTTATTCAGGACTACAAGAAATGCTTGCATTGCTGCAGGCAGTATAAATGCTCCCTTTTCATTTGTTAATCTTTTATTTTGATACACAGTTTGCTTTTGTATTTAGAGGAAGCATTTACATAATACTGCATTTTTGAAAGTTTCTTTAAACCTGAAGTTTTTTGAAGCACCTTGAACAGGCACAAAACTGGTTTGGAATAATTGTAACAATATGATTTCTGACTTGAAAATCATGGTGTCAGTTCTTAGCCACTAAATCTGGTTATGTGATATGCAAAAGCTATTCCATTGCCAGATGAGGTAGAAAGCACAGAATACCAGTGTAATGACTTGCCAGATCTCTTAATGCACTACTGTGCATTTGGGGGAGGGAAAGGCTTCTCTCTATATTTAACTGGCTTGTAACGTGTGTATTTATTTTTCTTTTTATCTTATTAAAGGTTTGGCATAGAAATGGTGCCTCTTGTTCAAAATGAGCAAGAGGGTCTAGAACTCAGTGAAGATTCTGATCTGTCTACTCTGGAAGGATTCCAGTGGGAAGGGATTTCCTTAGCAGTGTCTGGCTCAGCCAGAAAACGTAGCTTTTCTGAAAGCAGTGTCATAGCAGACAGAAATCCTTCTGCTTATAGCTTTTTCAGTGAACAAGCCAAAATAAAAGAAAGTGGGCAAAGGCAAATAATTGCAACCAGCCACTCACATCACATAACATCTGGATATGAGGCAAGCACTGACATTGAGGCTGACCAGAAACAGGAGACAGAGGCATCATCTCTTACTTTGTCACCTTTTATGTCTGAAAGAACTGAGACTACTGGAAGAAGTCACAGCCTAGAGGCTGCCTCTGAGATCACAGGCCTCACAAAACAAAACCAGAAGAGCCCAGAGAAGAGAACAACTCTTCTTGAAAAACAAAATGTACTAGAGATCTCAGAAGAGAATCGTCCAGCTTCAAATAGTACTTCACTTCTTGCAGTGTCTAATAACATAGATGCAGCTACAGATAGTAGCTGCACATCTGGAACTGAACAGAATGACAGCCAAGGACTTGGAAAGAAGCGGAGAGCAACTGGGGTAAGTGTGCAATTCTGTCCAGCTTTGGTGCCCTAAAGATTTATTTTCCTTTTTAATGGTCATTCAGCCTTGGAATGGTCTTTGCAAAGAGGACTTTCTCCATTTCATTGCCTTGTACATTGATAACAACAAGCTAATTTGCTTGTTTGACTTAATTTTCTTTAAGAATTTGTTCCATTCTGCTTCCTAGTGCAGGACTTCTGATAATATTTTTTAATTAGTAGGAATGACAAATGCTCTTTATTTGATTTGGTACCTGGCACTCTATGTTGGTAAACAAGAGCTGTTAAAATATTTCTGTGGAACTACTTGGTTTTGTAGCAATAATCTCCATGTTTCCCAATTTAAATGGAAGCTAGGTTGCAGTAGAAATTTGCTTTCCTTAGGTGTTCCTGATTTTGTGGTTAAGCAAGGAAAGACAAACCTTTTTATGAAATTATATACTTAAAATAATATTCTTAAATCTAAATTTATTTCACAGTCCTGTCTTGGACTTATCCAAGGGTAAAAAAAAATGTTTCTGATCAAATTCTCAAAATGGCTTTGCTATATGCAGAAAACAATAATTGTAATTCCTCACTGGTTAATCCTCAACTAAAACTGTAGAGCAAAAAATCTGACTCGGGTGTGGTCTTAAACATTTGAGTGAGAAGGCTATCGTCTTATTTAATATTTCTTCCTACTTGAGATGAAAATGTGGCACTCATTTTGTTGTCCTCCCTCTTTTACAAGCAGAGCAAAGGATGAGTTATACAAGAATGTGCAAAATAAATTGTGTGTTCTTCTCCATGGGTACAAGTAATGGTTGAAAAGACAATGGATATTTGACTTTTTGATTTAGACAAAATTGTTCTTGTAACTTGTTAATATATGATTTTACTTGCAGGAGGGATCATCTCCTGAAATCCCTAGTCTAGAAAGAAAGAATAAGAGAAGAAAAATCAAAGGTAAAAAAGGTGAGTGAATATCTCATATATGTATGCATCTGGTGTAGAGGTTAAAACATCCAGCAGTATTTTGGCTTGGCTAAAGTACTAGTTCCTTAATGTTACTTTGGTGCTTCTTGGGCACTTAATGAAGGTCGTAGGGTAAACTGCTCACAAGTCTGCAACACGTTCTTCTTTGTGGACTTGTATCTTTATTTGTCAGAAGTTGTTTCTAAGAAAAGGCTATGTGCATCGTTTCTGCCTGCAGTTCATGTTCCTGGTTGTGCAGATGGGACTTTTGCTTTACCCTGCTCAGAGAAGTGAGGTTTGTTGCCTCTTTAGATGGAAGTTCTGAAGGGAGAAGCACCCATTGCTCCTTTCTAATTTGCCATGCACGTTTCCCTTTCCAATTCTGGGTGGTAATACCAGAAAATTTGTACTCTGTATAATTTTCTCTGTGTTCTGTTTTTGACGTTTCTGGCAACAGTTTCTAATTTTACTCCTCCTTCCCTGTTCTTAATGGAAATGAATGTAGAATGCCTAGGTCCTTCCTGCTCCTGACCGAAGAAAGCTCTTATTCTGGCATTAGACAGATCTTTCTCAATCATGCCTAACACATCTGCATCACCATATATCAAAATGAACCATCTGTGTTTTAGACCGAATATTTCTTTGGGAACTAAATCATTGCAACACCATCTGGGAGCTTTGGGGTCCAGAAGATGGCTTTCAAATGTTCCATTTTTCTTCCTTTTGTTATTTATTTATTGATATTAACAGTTGTTTGGAATGCAGAGCAATTAATGTGAAATTTCTTGTGGGAACTAATATTTCACTACTTGAAAAGGTGGAGTTGTTTATAAGCCTCTGTCTTCAATGACTAGCATCTATTATAGAGACTAATAACACATTGTACTTAGTAAAATCTCTATTTCCCATTAGTTTGCTTTAACATCATGTGTAGTTGGCTTTAAGTCTGCAACTAGACAGTGACCAAACTGAAATTCAATTTGTTTAGAGAATATCTGTAATGCCTGAGGTCATTAGGAGCTTTTACTGAGTACAGTGCTCAGAGACTCTTTCTGAAGAGATTGCAAACATGAGTCTTATGGCCCAAAATGATCCTGAATAGTAAGCTATTTTTTTATTGTTGGGCTCTTTTTCTCTTAAGCAACCTTTCCTTGACTTCTGAATCAGCTGAGTAATTTATCTTGTTTAGCTTAAATTTGCCTTTGCCTTTTGATTATGTTAATGGCAAGTGTATATTTGTATTTCATGTACACATGTACTTCAAGAAAAGATCTTTGTGGAAGAGATTTACTTTGTTTAGCTAAACTAAATCATTGCTGGCAAAACTTTGATGGAAATAGTTACTAGAATCAAAGTGGAGATCCTGTAAAGGGGAATACTCGACTGTGCTCTTCGTCCATGTAGACATGGCTATTCCTGTGCATAAATACTCTGTTTCAGCTTCTTGTGTGATTATTAATGCTTGACCTAATTTATGTGATTTTTACATTCTGAGGCGTTAGTATTTATTGTGGTATCATGTGTAATGTATCTTAATGTACTGTTCAGTACAATCACTCTACATTGTGTTTCTTTCTCAGAACGTTCTCAGGTAGACCAGTTGTTGGCTGTTTCGCTGAGAGAAGAAGAATTAAGCAAGTCCCTGCAGAGTGTGGACACCAGTCTCTTGCAGGCTAGGGCTGCCCTGCAGGCTGCGTATGTCGAGGTTCAACGGTTCCTTGTATTAAAGCAACAGGTAACAGTGGGTTTTTGAAACTGTCTGAACTACAAGTTAGCAGCCTGAAATGTTAAATCAGTAGAACTGATACAAACCACAACTGTTTTGCAGATAACAATGGAAATGAGCACTCTGAGAAGTCAGAGAATCGAGATCTTACAGGGGCTACAAGGTACAAGATACCATAAAACTACAACAGAATGCTGACTCTCATATTCTTGAATCTTCTCCTTTTAACTGTGCAGTAAAATTGTAGACTTTCAAAATGAGGTCTTCATTTCAAGTGCGATCTGTCAATTTTGGTAGTGCCATCTAGTGGCTTTTTGTCAAATTTTTCTCTTCCTTGACTGTGTGTCTGCAAGAAATGAGCTCTTGGCACAAGTAAATTTTATTGTAAAATATGAACATTTTTGTTCTGTTTGGGTTTTTTATTTATTTATTTTGTCTCTTGACATTAGAAACCTATGAACCTTCTGAACTCTCAGAGCAACTTCCCTGCAGTGTCTTAAGTGAGAGAAGAAACAGCAAATCTCAGATGGCAGCTGACTTAATTCCTGCAGGCCCTCTCCAGCCCCTTTTGGACCCTTTGTATTCTTCTGTACCTCCACTAGGATCTTCTGTTCATGTAAACACGCCATCACCATTCCAGTCTTCTGGCAGCACACCTGCCGATGCTCCTGACTCCTCAGTACAAGTTAAACGAGAACCTGTGTCTCCAAAAGGCACAAAGGAAAATGTGAATTCTGTACTCCAGAGTTCTCCATGTGCTTCACGAGCAGAAGAAGTCGAGCAGAAGGATGGTATGTGTAGCTTTGCTGTGTTATAAGAAAATTAGCTTTAAGAAAATAAGGAAATTAATTTTTCTCCAAAAGAATATAAATTGTGTCTGTCATGCAGGGGTAAACTCCCATTAACTTGCGTAGGATTAACTAGTTTTTCTTTAAAAATAAAACAAACATGAATTTGAAGATTATATCCTCTTGAATAATTTAGTTAACTAAAATTAAAAAAACCCACCAAAACGAGAAAAAACCCCCAACAAACCTTAACATCTCCTCTATAATTTTTGTCTTCTACTCTACATTGTTTAATGAGTGTTGGTAGCTAAAAAGTCTGCTTACAAAGGAAAAACGTGTGCCTGAAAATATAAAAAAAAATTAAAAAAAAAAATTATGACCTACTACATTGAGAGTATTCTGTGTTTTAATTGGGCTCTGCTGAATAAGCACAAAGACTATCATTTGTAGTATTAAGAAAATAACACTCCATCTTCTCCTAACTGAATGTTAGGCACTGTTCACTCACGTGAGGGGAGTGGGAGTGAGTAGGGGAGGGCTAACAATGAAGATAGGGGTTTACTTTTGTCTGGAGGAGAAACAGGTGAATTAACCACTAATGGGAGAGCTACTGCCTCAGGAAAATGATATCTTAATGGCTATAGATGAAATAGCTAATTCTTTATATTTAGACAGTTTAAAACCCATAAAACCTGTGTGCTGTAGTCTGTGGTCAAAGGCTTAAATGTTATTGGTAGTTTCCACTGCAACTTGCTACTGTGACTGAAGGTAGAAAGAGATTAAAAGCTTAATTATCCCTTACTTTCCTAAAAGCCTGTGAAGTCAAGCAAGGTGACTCTAATGATAGTTGTTTGTCTGCCATAACAATGTCACTTGCCCAAACCCTTAACTTAGACAATTTGAGATAAACATTCATAAGATCAATCATTTTTGAAGATAGCCAACACAATTTTTTTCCCCTTCAACTAAAGTGGAAAATATTGTTGGAAGAAAACACATTCTACTTTTATAAGCACATTTTTTTCTCCAGCACAAGATAAATGTTGACTGAATTGAAGCTTAGACTTCTTTAAATACAAGAATTTTATTTTTTTTTTTAGCTTATTTCAGTTTGCTTTGGATGTGGAATTTTTTATAAATAGTGTTCTTCATGCTTTTTTAGTCCCCATTGCATTTCCTGTCTTCCACTCCATTACATTATATTAATGTAGTATTGTGAATTTTGCTTCATCTCTTTTTGGAGGATTTGACAGGGACTGTGAAGGTTTAGGGGTGTACACTTAAGTAAACTTGGGACAGGGGGAGAATCAGCTTTTGTGTTTTGTTTCCACTGGTAAAGCTCAGCTTTTGGGAAGCCACTACCTTTTCTTCACTTCCCTGTTTTTATTGGTATATGCCATACTGTTATGTGTAAACATCAGTGAAGTGTCGTTTTTCTTTCATGTTAGAGTTGGAAAACTGAGAATAAAGATTTACTGATCACTCTCTGCAGTGGCACGCAGTGTCTTGCAGAATCTTCAGACTTCACAACAGAGAAGCTGAAAAGGTTTTGTTTTTTTTTCTTATGAAGATGAATCTTCACTGTATAGCTATATTTATTACTTCAATAATTACTAGAAATCTCTTAATCACATTAGTGTATTTTTCAGTTTCCTACAAACTTATTTTCGACATGTTAAAAGCAAGAATACTCTTTGGTGTTTGTTTGTCAAGCAAACCTAGTTTTGGTATTGATGAACTTCTGTATGTGCTACATTTAAAATGGGTCTGCCATCAGATGAATTTAGTAATTTGGAGGGGAAATAAGCATTTACCATCAGGTAAAATCTGTAATCTGGGGAAGTGGAGTTCTCTCTGGGGCAGTCTGTTTACTTCTTTGGGGTTTAACATTTAGCTTGTTAGCTTCCCTAGGAGGTTAGCTCAGCCTTGCTTTGAGGAAGCTGATTGCATTTGGTTTCCCCTAATTGTCAGGAATCTCTCCCACCTGCAAAATCGAGTGATTCTGTTTTCTTACACTATCATGGTGATTTTCTACTTTTTTTCTTAACACTTGTGGTACTCCAAGCACTGAGAATAACTTTTGGGTTTAGAAATTTCAGTTTAAGTTGCTGGTTACTATTATTTTCCTGTTCTAAAGCAGCCAGGTTCCTTCCTTGCCCCTTCCAATGGGAAATGAGTGACACATGATATTAGAGTCATATTCACAATTTAAGGTTTTGTGTGCCTTCTTACAAGTATAATTCAACACAGTAACTGTTCAGACTTCATCTAAGCGTTCATTTCTTCCATATAGAGAATATCAGATTTTACAGCTGTGTATAACAGTTATGTGTCCAGAGGAAAACATCTTTCCATTGATTTATTTTAAATGCAACATACCCTATGGGCTGTCAGCAAGTTCTAGTTTTATCTTGGAGTTTCCCATCTGAGGAAGATGTGGGTGAGATATTCTCATTTTGGCTGTTTCTAGTTGGATGTGTAATTCCAAAGTGTCCCATTTATACTGTGATGTGTAATGTGCTTTTGGCTAAGCATTACTATAGGATTAGTTCGGTGGTTTCTGAGAGAGTGAAACAGGGGAATGTTTCAAATACTCCCAGCTTCCATTTGCATTGTGTGATCCCACTCAATAAATGCAGTCAACTTGAAACATCCTGTTCTGGATTGTAGTTATTGCAAATGCAACCAGGGAATTTTAGGGTGCAGGAAACAGCTGTTAGATGCTGCCCTTACTAAGGGCAGTTGAGGGATTGCATTCTTTGGTTCATATTAATTAAAATAAATGACAGGGAGAGTATGTTTGCCCCATTGCATAGTCCACCACAGATGAACTAACTAAGTTAAGTAAACCAACTAACTAAAGCCTACCCTCATGGCTTACAGTGCTGCCATTCCCTGGATATGGTACAGTGCTGCAGAGTGGGTCGTGCACGACTCATCAACCTGGAATTAGGTCCAAGTAACTTGGTAGAAATAACTAATTCAGATGGGTTCGGCACAAGGTCTTCATACTGTGTCACTGAACAGCTGAGTCGTGCTTGGCATGCATCATTACTACAGCAGTTGTGACAGCTGGTAAGGGAGCATATACAGAGAGGAGTGGTAGCATTTTAAGCCAACAATGTAGGATTCACCAAAGATTGTCAGAACTTTAAAAGCATATAGTCAGCCAGCAGCTTGAATGATGTGCACCATTCCTTTGCTTCTGGCTACACAGATTTTTTTCCCCAGCTATGTTTTTTAAAGGCTGGATAGCTGACTGAAATAGCAGATCTGCATGTGCACATATTTTTCAACATGTAGGAATATGTACTTTACATGCACAATTAAGTGTAAATGGAAAAATGCAGGGAGAGCCATTTTGCATAAATATTTATTGCTGTACAGATTGAATGTAACACTCATCTGTTTTCTTCAGAAGAGACCAACCCGAAAACTTCAGTGTATCCAGTTATCTCTGCAACCATGTCGCTATCAGAGCTGATATCTTGTTTCCAACACACTAATCAAGATGTCCACAAGCCTGCTGCAGACAGAGTAAAGTCTGGACTCCCTGAGAACCCTTCTCCTCAATCACTGTCTGTTTTCAGCAAGAGCGAGGCAAATGATACAGTAGCTGAAGAATTTTTATTGCATCAGTGTAGCACTTCTCTTTCAAAGCATTCGGTCCTCCTAGGAATGCCAACGGATAAAACCCCCAAATTGTCAGCAGAACCATCTGAGCAACACTTGGCAGCCACTGTAGTCCCAGCAGAAAAAGGGAACAGGAGGAGGAGAAGGTTAAGGAAGAAGAAAACTCTGAGGGCAGCCCATGTGCCAGAGAACAGCGATACAGAGCAGGATATGATTGACTCCAAGCCTGTCCGGAAAGTCAAGGGTGGAAAGGTTCCTAAAGGAGAAAAAGTTACTACATCTACTTCTCCAAGAGAGGAGGATGGAGCTACTGCTCAAAGAGCAAGAAACAAAGATAAGAATGACAGTGATGCTTCTCTGGAACTAGTGGAAGTTTCAGCACCTCAGTGTGAGGTGGTTGATGTTGGTTCATCAGAGTCAGGAGATGAGAAACCAGACAGTCCATCAAAGAGGGATTCACGCAGCTCTGTGGATCAAGCAGTCCTAGAGGCATCTTGCTCTGGTTATGATGAAGTGAGCTCCACCAGTGAAATTGGCACAAATTATAGGAATGATGGGGAAAGAAGGTGAGGTTATTGTAGACCTCTCAAAAGTATTTTTATACGATATTGATGAGGTTTCTCTTTTTTCTTTTTTGTTTTTACTTAGAAAGTCTTACAAAATCAGTGACTTTTTATTTCATTTAGGAGTGACATAAGAGGGAAAATAAAAACTGACTTGGCTGTTTTGGTCAGCAAATGAATGTGTTTTGTTACCTATTAATTTCTCTTAATATGAGAACAGGGCTGCCCTTCATGGAAAGTTTGTGTTTGAGCTTATCTGTCACAGCATATTTTGTACTAAGTGCAGAGTCTTGTGTTTTGGAATATTACTTACACCAGTATTTTGTCTCAAAATGAACACGCAAAGTCCGATCTTGCTAATTTTTATTTTTGTTGCAGTGTGGCTGAGACGCAGGCTTCCATATCATCACTGAGAGGATCAAAGAATTCCTCAGGTATGTCTTTTATGCTTTCCTGCTGATACTTAGTATGTGGTATCTTGCAGGACTTCGAGTTAAGTCTTAATCAAACTGCTTCCAGAGGGGAATTTTGCCTTGAAGATAAAAGCCTGCACTCAAAACTGAAGTGGGAAGTGACATCTACTCACATCATCTCTCATTGAATGCTTTGTGCCTTGACTCCTCCACAGCCCTCTGCCCCCTCCCACACAAACACTTCTGTTCCACAGTCTCTGTAGAGCTGTAGGAAAAACAATAATACAGTCATTTTTCTATTTTAAAGAGATTTCTGGACTTATTGTCATATAAGGTCTTTCTGGCATTTTATATTGCCTTCTGTCACTGTCACACTCCAGCTGGGACCCACAGTTAAATTTGACTTCAAGGTGCTGAGCCCACAAAATAGTTCTGCTGGTTGACAATACAAACAACAGTAGTGTGTTTGCTTAAAAGTGTTCCCATAATCAAAATACATTTATCTCTGTCCTACAGAAGTGTCTTCGGAGCCAGGTGAGGACGAAGAACCTACAGAGGGAACCTTTGAGGGACACTTGGCTGCAGTGAATGCTATTCAGATTTTTGGGAATTTGTTGTATACCTGCTCAGCAGACAAAACTGTTTGTGCCTACAATCTCGTTGTAAGTAAGGTTGTGGGAATGGTGTTAAATGAATTGCAATCAAAAGGTTGTTTTTTTGTAAAGCCTCACTATGTAGCTAAGGAAGCAGCTGCTTTTTCAAGCATGTAATTTATTTTATACTATACTTTTTTTCAAAACTCTCTTCTCTCCCTCCCCAACCCCTTCTGCCTATGGGAGACGCAAGGAGAGATAGATTGCTGTATGTGTCCTGCTCTTTTTTAGCTGTCCTTCCTTATTATGATATGCACATATCCTGAGAGGTATTATGGGCATTTACACTGACACTGTGCTTTCCTTTTTAGAGCAGGAAGTGTGTGGCCATCTTTGAAGGACATACTTCAAAAGTGAACTGCCTTCTGGTTACTCAGACAAATGGGAAGAATGCTGCACTCTACACTGGCTCAAGCGACCACACTATCAACTGTTACAATATCAAGGTACTCAAACTCTGTGTTGGTTAACATATATCTCATTTTATGCAAGTGTTTCTTTACAAATATAAATTTAAAAAGCCTTTTAAACCCATATAAGCTGGACGTAAGCCCTACTTCATACCACCATAGAGTAGAGCAGAAACCCCTCCCCACACAAACACAACAGCAAAGTATGAACTGATTAACTGCCCAAATCCTTTGGATAGCTTGTCAGTACAGTTTTTGCCGAAACAGCATGACATGATCCCAAATGTTGGCAACAACAAAGTGCAGGATGGTTGTTTGGCCATGAATATCATATTTCTCTTGCTGTATTTCTAACTTTATTGCTTACGGAATATGTCTCATTTCATTGTTTGTGGAAGGCACTGCTCTCTGTTCTCTCTCTAGCTGTAGAGCAGCTATAGAGACAACAGGTGTCTGTTATTCCAAGGGCAGATGAAATAGCAGGCTGAGACTTCCTGAAGCTGGATGTTTGAGGATAAATGATAAGAACGCTTGTCCAACTTGTGACTTGAAGGACTGGAAAGCAAATATCTGCTTCAGGGAGCAAATTCCCAGAGGTTTTAAACTCTTAAGTTCCCTATGGGGAGTCCTCAACCTCAGGGTTGTTTCCATATGCGCATATATAGTCCGTAGTCTAAATTTCTATATACGTTAGAGGTTGTGAATAGAATAAAGTGTTTAGGATTATAACTGGTTTCTGAAGTACAGCCAAGTCTGAGAAATGTTCCTGATTAAAACCAGGATCAAACTGCCATGTGACACCAGATTGTCAGATTTTTTTCCAGCTCTCTTGGTTTAAAAAATGCAGCTTATAGGTGAAAACCATCATTCGCTTCAGGCTTTTTTTCCCTGAATTGTTTTCGGTAAATTAAAAGCTTTAAACACTTCTTTCTATTGCCAGACCAAAGAGTGTATGGAACAATTTAAATTGGAAGATCGAGTGCTCTGTTTACACAGTAGATGGCGGATCCTTTATGCAGGCCTTGCAAATGGCACTGTGGTTACTTTCAACATAAAGGTTAGTTTAAATATTGGCACCTAAAAGCCTATTGTGATGCTGTTTCTCTCCACTTTGTGTTTCTTTCCATTCTTTCTCTAGAGTAGTAAATGTATTTGTAATGTAAGTATTTTGGTATAAATGGTCACTGTTGGCCCCTTTTGGTCCTTTATTTTGTCTGTGCATGAAGCTATCCCATCCCCTGTCCCTTTGGTTACCTTTCTTTTAGCTGCGGTATTGTTATGTTTTTCCTTAAAGTTCCTCCTGGTCTACCAGCCCTGTGTCATTTCTGACACAGCTGATTATTTGTGAATCTTCCTTTCTTGCCCTTCAAAGTAGTGTGAGAGACTTATATATTGCTGGTTTTGCCTACTCCTTTTGCAGTTATAAAAGAGAGTCATGTTTTTCTGGCAAAGAGGTTTTATCAGCAGTCCCCATGATGTTTAAAAGTGAATAAAAATTATTATTTAAATGAGCTATTTTTTCTGATTATTCTTTTCATGGATTCTAGACTTAATTTCTCAAATTTATCCTTACAAATTTATCTTGTTTTGCATTTTTCTCATAACACTGTTTCCTTTCACTGTTCTGACTCTGCAAGAGGATCTACTGGACCTTTGCTAAACAATTAAATATTTTTTTTAAAGACAGAAAATTGAAGCCTAACATAAAGAGTTATTTCCTTGATTGGAAACTTAGTTGTTAAGATGCAACTCTTACTAATGCTGAAATTGGGTTACTAAACTGAAATCAGATGCTTTAACAAGTACAACACAAAAAGGACTCAATGGTCTAGTCAGTGTCATAGCAGAGTTTTAATTCTTAAATACCATTTTTTTCTTCCCCCAACAGAATAATAAACAGGTTGATACCTTTGAATGCCATGGCCCTAGAGCAGTGAGCTGTCTAGCCACAGCTCAGGAAGGAGCACGCAAGTTGTTGGTAGTGGGTTCCTATGACTGCACCATCAGCGTGCGAGACGCACGGAATGGACTGCTTCTCAGAACCCTGGAAGGTCACAGCAAGACTATACTCTGCATGAAGGCAAGTGTCTCTGAAAACAACATTTTTGACAAAGAATGCTTAAAATTATGTGTATTTTCTTCTTCATCTACTAGTGAACAGATTGCGATAGGAAATAGAGGATTTCTCTGTTTTAAATTATAAAAACTGAGTAATCTGGTAGGAAAATTGTCTCTGTATGGCTGCCATATCACATGTCCCCAGTTGCCCCATCTATGTGTGTTTTTTGAACACTCGGGGATGGTGGTTTCACCACTTCCTTGAGCAACCTGTTCTAATGCCTGACCATCGTTTCAGTGAAAAAATTTTTCCTAATGTTTATTCTAAACCTCCTCTGGTGCAATTTAAGGCTGTTTCCTCTTGTCCTGTCACTTGTTACCTAGGAGAAGGGGCTGACCCCCACCTCACTACAACCTCCTTTCAGGTAGTTACAGAGAGCAGTAAGGTCTCCCCTGAGCCTTCTTTTCTCCAGGCTAAACAACCCCAGCTCTCTCAGCTGCTCCTCATACGATTTGTGCTCTAAACCCTTCACCAGCTTTGTTGCCTGCCTTTGGACACATTCCAGCACCTCAATGTCCTTCCAAAACTGAACACAACACTCAAGGTGTGGCCTCACCAGTGCTGAGTACTGGAATACAATCACTGCCCTGGTCGTGCTGGCCACACTATTTCTGATACAGACCAGGATACCATTGGCCTTCTTGGCCACCTGGTCACACTGCTGGCTTATGTTGAGCCACTGTCGACCAGCATCCTCAGATCCTTTTCCTCCAGGCAGCTTTCCATCCACTCCTCCCAAAGCCTAGTGTTGCATGGGGTTGTTGTGATCCAAGTGCAAGACCTATGTAGAAAGCATAATAACATTTCATGTTATTAGAAGATTTAGGGGATTTTTAAATGTGAGTTTACCGACAGAAGGAAAGTTGGGGAAAAGGTGGAGCTAGTCTTCATGTAACCTGATAGTACAAACCTCAGAGGAAACTGGAAAAAATGAACTCAAGAAGTATTCTTTTTTAATAGAAGAATCACTGACTTATTTACAGGTTTCTGGCTCCTGAAATTATGAGATGGAACATGTGCTTGTCTGACTGTTTTGCTGTGACCACTATCATGTAACAGATAGGCGATTACTTCCATAAATTGTGTTTGTCACTTTATTTATTGCAGTGTGGTGGCACAGCCCTTTTTGCCCTGCAGACTGTCCTAATTCTTCTTCAATGACAGCATACCATGATCCCTTCTTGATCCATGATGGATCTGGTGAGCTTTCTTCCTAGAGTAGCACTAGTTAGGAGCATTGCTCTTCTTACATGAGCAGAATATAAGTACACAGCATATCCAAAATTTCAGGAAACAGTGGGCTTTAGTGTGCACATGCAGAGCAGCATTCTGCATTCAGTTTGCTTGGTCCCTGATTTGCTGCTGACCTGTGCCTGAGAATTGTCCATAGGTAGAATGAATTAGCCTGGTGGACGGCAAGTCAACAGCTTCTTATGTCAGTTGCAAAGTGTCAAAAGTCATAGTTAGGATATTATAATACATTTGCGAGCTCTTAGGTAAAGAACTCAATGCATGCTTTTTCTTCATATTCTTTATTGATTTGAAGTCTGTCAAATTTAGGAAGTACTGCAGTACAACTCTGAGCTGAACAGCATCTTAATATTTCACTTGCCCATTTCAATATCTGTTACAAAAAATAAAACTTTTTTTTTTTTTTTGTAAGGTTGTGAATGATCTGGTATTCAGTGGCTCCAGTGATCAGTCTGTCCATGCCCACAACATTCATGTAAGTCTCATATATAAGGATGGAATCACTTTTGCTATTAAGGCAGTGAATTCCTATGCTATAAAGTCAGTATTTTCCAGATTTTTCACTGGTGGAGCAAATAATTTCCAGAAAAGGAAGTCTCATGATTTTGTTAATGTGACTATGCACTGTAGCTAACTAAAGGTATGTGAAGAGTACATAAACATGCTGACTCTTGTCACATGATATGCAATGCCTTTTTAATGGGCTTCTTGCTTTTGCAAATATTACTAAAAAATGTGCTGATAATATGGAAAGGGTTGAAAGCAAACCCATGTGAGATACTGTGCTGGGGGAAGAGTTTCTTTATTACAGGAAAAACATGAGGAACGGTGTTCCAAGCTAGATGGTTCAAAAGCTATCTCTAGCCTGCCACTCTTTCTCTCTTTTACACCATCTTTCCACAGTCCTAGGAGAAGCATTCATGTAGCTATGCAATAAGTTAGATTAAGAAATTTATCAGAGCTAAATTTTAATTGACAAAAAAATATATTTCTGTGTATTTAGCTAGATTTGCTCACTGATCCTTGTGGCTAACTAAATACTGCTGGTACAAATAGCATGGTACTAGTTGCAAGGTGGATGGGAATATGTAACTAAAGATGGAAAGAGAAGTAGAGGAAGATAAGAGAAAACTTTTCATAGACTCATGCTTTTCTGTTGTACCGGAATGGCTCTGTGTTAAGATGGGCAAACAAAATGATATTTGATCATAATCTAGAAGTGTCTTCATAGGAAGTGGAAGTGTAATAAAGGGGTTTTCCATTTTTGAGTATTGAGCACTGAAGCTAGCTACCCTATCTGGGTTAAGTAAAGCTGTTCTGTTGTTTAAGAAAAACCAAACACCTATTTACCTTTTCTTTTTCTTGATGCAGACTGGAGAGCTCGTACGAATCTATAAGGGCCATAACCATGCAGTGACAGTTGTGAACATTCTTGGGAAGGTGATGGTGACAGCATGTCTGGATAAATTTGTTCGTGTTTATGAACTACAGGTAAGAAAATAGATGGTTACTAATGACACTTACCTAAGATGCATTAATTAATTATTTTGAAGTCAAATAGAAGTCATCTTTGTGCTTACTGGTCTCTGGCCTATCCCTCTCTTTGCTGTCACTCAGAATATATAGTTGTCTCACCAGCCAAAATACGTGGGTTTTAAAGAATATAACCTAAACCATTTCTTTAGAACCTAAGACAATGACAGCTCTGAAAAAGGTGGAAATGTTAGTTTTGTCTGCTGAAAAGACCAAGTGCTTAGTTGGACAAAAAGACTCACGGAAGCAATGTAAGCAACAATGAGCTTTCAAGGTGGCTATTAATTTTGGAATCCACCGGAGGAGTTCAGTTGCTACCAAGCAAACTGCTTTTATAAGCATTATCCTTTGCATGTCTGTGAAAAATGGCTATTGAATGTCCTGCTTTAAATGTCTGTTTCTGTTTCTTTCAAGTCACACGACCGCTTGCAAGTCTATGGAGGCCACACAGATATGATCATGTGTATGACCATCCATAAGAGCATGGTAACTTCCTTCTTTTTACTGGTCTTAAAGAGAAGGTTGTAAGTACCACAGGCATATACAAGACAGTTTAATTTTTTTGGATAAAGAAATCAACCTATTATTTGACTAAGAACAACTTGGAAATGCAGCCAAAAAGCAAGTTGCTATAACAGCTTTATATTTATGTAATATTATTGTCTGGAGAAAAATTACCTTCTAGCTTACTGTAGTCTTAAAACAATAGCTCTTTTTACAGTAATGACTACAGTGAAGTGTCCAGAAATAGTAAAATACTTCCTCTTTTTGAAGTGTCAATCCTGTTTGACTGTTACTCAAGAGAATCACACAGATGCTAGAGTCAAACCCTTAGTAACCTTTGATAGAACGTAAACAAAGATACGCAGTTGATTTAGGTGCACAGGTTTCTTCATGCATCTGCCCTGCAAGATAAGTTTCAGAAGCACTTCTGGATACACAGTTCTTAAAATAGTCATTAAAGCACTTATTTGTCTGCATATGTAGGAATTTGCTTGCAAAGTTTCTTTGCAATTATAAAATAAAAGGTAAATTAGTGATCTCTAATACCAGAAAAAGTCCAACAGAACTGATATCCTACTAATTGGAATATATACTACCCAAGCACCACATCTCACGTGACTAGAATCTGAGGCTTGAACTGTCCCCCACCCAGTAGTCTGTTGTGGGCATTCTCAAATCAAAGAAGCGTTCAGATAAGAAGCTTAGTGACAAGCAAAAGATTATAATTTTCTGTAGTAGTCTTAGTAGTAAAGTGTAGTCTCTTAGACACAACAGACTGGCTGTTGCATCCTAGTGGCAAATTTCCGAGAACTGAAATGGATAAAAATAACAAATGGATTCTTTAGCTTGCAGAGTTTTCTGTATTATGCAAGGAGTTTTTTTAACAATGAATCATTGTTATGGGATTATAAATGTCTAGCATCCTGTTCTTTCAAAAGGATAGTTTCGTGTGGAGCATCTGCCAAACAAAAATGGTATTTAAGATGTCATTTTGCCTTCCTTTTCAGAATCTACATCAGTCTTTTTGAATTTCTGATGTTCTTCTTCAACCTTCCTCTTCATCCTTTTTTGATATACATATAACTGGTTAAGCCCTGGAAATATATTCAATTTGACATTTACACCTGCTTTTTTTTTAATTTTACTGAATAGTAACATAAAACATATTTTAAAGTTTTCTGAACTGTTATACACATGACACTATCAGAGGTTATGGAAACATTTCTTATTCACTAGTAGGTTTTTGTAAACTATGAATGCAAATCTTAAAAGAATTAGGCTATTATCATTTTTTAAATAAAGAAGCCTTGCCTGTTGATATTTATTGTTTTTCGCCTAATACCCTCTACACTGAAGCCTCCTTCAAAGTTTTACTTCATTTTTTTTTCTTCTATTCCCAACTTGCTTATCCACAAATGTTTCTTTTACAGATCTACACTGGATGCTATGATGGCAGTGTCAGAGCTGTGAGGCTTAATCTGATGCAAAATTATCGTTGCTGGGTAAGGAGCAAAATGTTTAACCTTCCTTTATTGTAGAATTTCCTAGGGGTATTCTCTATACTCATTTAGTCTTGGATAGCTTGACATTTAATTTATTATAATTCATTATTTTTTTAAAAATGTGGATGTACTTTTTAAATGTAGGTATATATCATGAGTTCGATTTTACATTGTCTTTGGTGTGTATATATATATGCTGTGGAACAAGTTGATAGTTTAAGTTATTTTTCTTCCTGGCAGTTTTTAAATAGTGACATGTAACTGTTTAAAACCAAAAACTTCACCTGAGTGACACAGACAAGCTGATTTGCTCTGCTAAATAAGTTTAATTAAATTCCAAATGACTCTGTCACAGGTAAGCTTAAATCTTGTAAAGACTTAGTTCCTGTCTTCCTCCTGTCATTCCTGCTGATGGTCTAGGGTTGGATAGAGGCAGGAAGAATTTCTGTAAACTGTAATTAAAGGAATAGAGACCATTGAAAATGGAAATGCAGTAATAAGATAAAAAACTTAGAGGAGTTGGCACGTGTGTTAGCAGTTTTGGAAGAATATTGTGAAGTTGCAAGAATAAAAGGATTAGCTAAAATTCTATTTCCCTGGCTTATTCTGGTATGTTTTTTCTACCAGTGGCATGGATGTTCACTGATCTTTGGAGTTGTGGATCATCTGAAACAACACCTGCTAACTGACCACACCAATCCAAATTTTCAGACCCTGAAATGTCGTTGGAAGAACTGTGATGCTTTCTTTACTTCCAGGAAAGGTTCCAAGCAGGTACATGGTTGAAATAACGTGGTTGTATTTGAGAATACAAAATACTTTATATCACCACAATTGTGGAACTTGATCCTATTTCTCTTAAAAAGGGTTAAATTTTTCTAGTCTTGGCAGACTTAGCTGTGTACAGTTACAGTCATACAGGGCTTGCAGGATTCACTTCAGCCTGTGACAGGTGAAAAGTGCAGCTACAAGATGTGGTCCATTTAAAACAGTTTCATCAGTTTAAAACAGTTTGATTGTAAAATATGTGGAAATGGTAAGATTCTTAAAATATTAAAGAAATTCTACTCAAGATATTAGTAAGTTTCTGTAGGAAAAAGATATTTTTAAAATGAACAAACATCAGCCTTGAAAACAGGTTTTTATCCCTTTAATTCTTATCCATCACTACCCCTTTCGTTGTTCCAGATGATGATGCTGTATATTTTTCACGTGAGATTGTTAGCAAAACCAATTTTTAAATAAGTAGTGGATAAATTTATGAGCAAAAGTTAGCTCAGATTGGGAAAAAATTAAGAATGCATGGGTTGGGCTGAGTGATGTGGAAAGGGTTGGGTAGTGGGTGTAAGGAGGACTGTTACTTATAGGCTGATTGGTAAAATACACATTTTACTCCTTGGCAATATAAACTACCTTCCTTTGAATGCTTTCCAAAATATGGAGAAGGAAGGAGTTTCTTTGAGAACTAAGAAATCAAAGTAGAATCCTTAATTTCTCTTTAAGCACTGGCTTTGGATATGATGTATTTATCTGATTTGCTCTTCTAGCCAGAAAAAAACTGGGTTTTATTTGCCTTAAATTATGTGGTATGTGAAATACTTTATATATGTGATTTAATAGCTTGACATTGATATTTACCTTTTTAGAAGCTTTAAGCCAAACAAATGTATATTATTTAGAATTCCACTTTCACTGAGGCTTCAAGAATCTTTTGCAAAGTTTTCTGTGGGTTTTTTGTGATGATGATAATTGTTTTTAATTGGCTTCTCTGGTTCTTTTCTAGGATGCCGTAGGACACATTGAAAGACATGCTGAGGATGACAGCAGGATTGACTCATGAAGCTTTTCACCTCCCACATTGGGAAGTAATTTTATATGTCAGAATTATTCCAAATAACATCTGTTCCTTTCTCCAGTCTTCCCTCTTTCTTTTCCCACTTGGAATGTAAAAACTGAGTGGGGCTGAAATGCATTGCTATGGAGACTGCAGGTGGTGTTGCACTCTGTAGAAGCAAGGCTGGTCAATTAAGATTTAGCCCAAATTCTTGAAACTTTTTAATTCATTGACAGACGAGAATATTCCCTCCTCTTGTCTGCCTCGGTTTTTATTGTTTGGGGTTTTTTTCTGGTGGTTTTTTGTTTGTTTGTTTGTTTTAAGATGTATAGTCTTTGGGAAATCCAGAGGGGTGTTGAGAACTTAGATTCCAATAGGTGCTGGTGTTTGCAAACTCAGCTTGAGGCCTGTTAAACGTCTAAGACATGTCTGTTTTTATGTTGTATCAAATTTTTTAGCCGATTTTGATAAAATTCTGCAAACTAGAATATCACAAATTCTAAACGTAACCTGCATTTCTGCTGTACATTTTTACTTTCTTCATAGAAAGAAAAGGTATTTTATGGAGACTGGAATAAATTAATTTTTTTAATGTTAATTGTAACTTATTTTTTATTCCTTATGTAAAAATTGCTATAACTGGCACAATATATGCAGTGATAGATACCATACCTCCTGATGTATTTTGTTTATTTGTGGGACAGCAGTTATTTCTTGAGAATTATGTCAATAGCAGCAAAACAGCCAGAACAGTGGCTCTACTCATGTGCTTTGCAATCTTAGTCTTTTTAAATATAGGTCTTTATGTACAGGAAAGAAGTAAGTGGTGTCTGGTTTGTTTTAGTTAAAGACCAGCATAACCACTACTGTCTTGGTACAACACCACAGTTGGATTCCTGATTTTATTTGAAATCTTAGTGACTGAGCTTTGCAGTCCCATATCTTCAAACTAAGAGAAATGCAAAGGCACTGCCTGTCTACGTGCATCCACTCAGGCAGTTTTTTGTTTCTGTTGTTAACTGTCTTAATTAGCTTGGGCTATGTCAAGTTCACAAAATGTCAACTGGAAAGAACTGAGCAGAATTTTAACATCTAAAGTACTCAAGCAGAAGCTGAGGATACGAAATGCATATCACATGTGAAAGTCTTGTTTCTACTAATGCACAGAAAGTACCACAGAGAGGCCAGTGCAGAAGGGAAGGCTGTTTCTACTTGTCAGAATTCCTCTGCAGGTGTCCCTTGATGGGGAACACTTCACCTGCGAAGTTCAGTAAAAGGTACTTCTTGCACTTGAGATCCTCTCTCCCATAATGACACCAGTTTAGCAAAGAACCCTCTTAACATTGAGACTAATCCAGCAAGGAGCTTTGTGCTCACTTTTGCCTAACTTGCTGCTCTGGGTAAAATAAGCAGAGTTTCCTTAAACTGCAACACGTGAAGACAGACCAGTGTCAAACTGAGCTGCTTATAAATGAATCCAGGGCTTTTCAAAAAAATTTAATGTACTATTTTTATGAGGCATCTCTTTCACCACTACTTTGAGATTTGCAAGCCATAGACCAAATAAGATTTATAGCTTCATTCTTTGACTATAAAGAAGCCTTTTTAGGTGAAGAAAGTGAGAGAAGCCCATGGATGTTCCACTGCCATCAAATGGAGGAACTTCAGGGCCTTCTCTGAAGTACACTGATTTTGTATTATCTTAGTGGACAAGCATTTCTTTGTAATTGCTTGACATTGATGATGTTTTTTGTGAAACAGGAATAAAATATGAAGGAGATGCAGTAGCATCCTACTTCAATCTCTGAGGTTCCAGTGCTTTTGTGGTGATTTGTTTCTGGTTTCTTGGTTGGGTTTTTTTTATTATGTTTGTGGATAGAAAAAAGCCCCAATATGTGGCTCAGACTTCAGGCTGTTTTGAGAGTGTTCTTGTTTTGGTTTTTGGGGATGTGTGTTGGTGGTGTTTTTTTTTTTTAATCTTTCTTTCTTTCTGTGGTCTGTGGATGAAGCAATTCAATAGAGAATCAGGTTGAGGGAAATCTTTAGGCAGTGTAAATGTTTTCTGATGGAGGCTCTAATGCTCTAAAGTCTCTGAGAGTGTTTGGTTTTTTTAATGACCTAAAAGCAGAAGACTGCATAATACTTAAACCATTTCCAAAAGTGTTGATATTCAAGAGTTCTTCTGGGAGTTTTTTGAACAACAATGAGGGAGCATGTAAGCATGGCATAAACAGTGTGGATGTCTCAAGCTGTCCTTCCTGGACTTTGCTTGAAGTGAAGATGCAGAGGTGTGTCCCAAGGACAAGCATGTGGGGCAATAGTAGCATTCTGAAAAATGGTGTGTGAGAGTAGATTTTGTTACTTCTTCACTGTAATTCTTCACATTCTTTTAGCTGTTTTCAGCAATGCGTAAAGATCTTTCTCACTTGCTGTTGCAACAAAAACAGTTATTACACTTTATTTGCATTCCTGATTGCTTGCTGGGTTTATCTTTTCTGGTTGGTGGAAGAAGTCTTCCTTTTCTTGTAGTCCATTATATTTCCTAATCTGTCATCGAAAACAGTCCTCCTGAGAAGTCTGGGCCTCTGAAGTCCAGCTTTAGCAGTGGTGTTTTTTGCTACTTTGCAGGTCATTTCAGCTATATTGTAAGAATCTTAAAATGGATAAGGTGTGGGAAAATAGCAGAGCTGCATGAGTGAAAAATTTTGCTTCATTTAAACAATTTTTAAAAGTCCTTAGGGATTCAGAGGAAAATGCTGCACTGCTTTGTCATGAGGATGTCTTGGAAGTATTTGCTATGAAACTATGCAGCTGTGAAAATCTCCAGGCTTCTCTGGAATTCTATGGAGAGGTTTCCCATTTGTTCAGGTGGAATTCAGTGCAGATTTCACTGTTGACCATTCACTTCTTCTGTAGGCAATTGTAGAAGAGAGATGCCGAACTAATGTATTGGCATGGTATTTATTAATGAGATTTTCTCTGGTCTTGAAACTTAGAGTTTTGACTCCTGATATACCTCCAGTCTAGGAGTGTAATGACTTTGGGAAGGAACTATTTGTGAAATTTAACAGAGTAACATTTGCATGAAAAGCAGTATTGCATGTCTGAAGCCAGTTTCAGGACTATTTATTTTTTATTTTGTTTTGGTTTTTTATGCAAGTAAGAAGCTGTGGGTAAAAGAGTGAGTGGAGTGAAGGTTTATTTTGTGGTTAGCTGTGGGAGTTTTTTATTAGTCAAATATTAAATAATGAGTTCTGGACTTGCTATATGGTTGACTACGTATGGTGGAGCCATTTGGGATTGGTCCATATTTGTTTCTCCTTTCTCTTTCAAATACAGGGAAAAATACAGCTATCTGGCAGTGCAGAATACTCTATGGCCTAATAATGCTGCTTCTGTACATGGAGGGAGATGGAGGGAAAAGTGCTGCATCCATTGGTACACAGATGCATTAAATATCCCAGCTTCTGTTTGCCTTGTGTCACTTATCCACAGACTTAAAGTCTGTGGATTACAGACTTTAAACATATTGTCAGCACATAAGTTGACTTCTGCAAAATAGCAGGAGCTTGGCTGTGTGGTGTGTTTGAAGTAGTGCAATTCTTAATGCACATTTTCAAACTGTACAATCATGCCAGATGAAGGTAAATGATAACTGCAAACTCGCAATAAATGCCAGGGAAAAGGTTTTTGTTGGGAAAATATTTTTTTTCCCTTCTGTTGAATTAAAACACAGGTACAGGTGACTCTTTGTTTTCAGGCTTGTATGGTACTATAATTTAAACAGCCTAAGTTGTCCAGAGTTGCAGTGAGGGAGGATAAGGAAACGGTTTCAGCTACTGTTTGTAAAATAATTAGTCTTCAAAGAGTAAATTGTGTAGGTATAAATTCTGTTGTATGCACCTGTCAGCTTCTCAAATTTAATTTTCCTGTAATGTTAAACAGTCTTTTTGAAGAATGAAAGTGGAATAAAACAACTTGATTAAATATGTAGTAATTTAAACTGTGTAGAACATGCACAGATTGACCCTGGTTTTCTTCTCTCACTTTGGTACAAAGCTGTGAGTGTAATAATGAAACTTTACATGGCAAAAGAAGAAAAAAGAAGAGAAAAAAAATAAAGTTCTTTATATTGTTGTGGTTTGTCAGTCTGATTCTCCTTTATTTTAAATAGAATGATTCTTTCATAGGATTTGGTAGAACTTGACTTTGTTCTGAATTTTTTTCCTATTTTAAGAGGTCTGGATAAAATCATACAAGCCACTTTGAAGCTCCAGCACTGGCAGGAGTGTTATGAGTGTGCAGGAATCTCAGACCTAGTCATTTGGCAGGGAAATGGAAACTGTCCACCCAGCTGGTGCCTCCAAGATGACGTACTGACTGCCTTGCTTCATGGCCAGATGCAAGGGAAGTTGGTGGTTCTCTCACCAGGACTTTAAGGACCAGTTTTGAATTGCCAATTAAAAATCCTGATTTTGATCTTTTGACTGACAGATTTTGGTTTTTCTCTGACCATCCCAACTCAGAGCATCTCTGCCATACTTTTTGTAATAGTAGCTTAATGGAGATAATGCGTGGCTGGAAGCTGGGGCTCCAAGTGTTCCAGTCATCTTAAAAATTATTTGTCTTAAAAAAAAAGTAGAATTTAAAGGAGAATAAAACTTTTCTTTAGAAAACTATAGGATTTTCTTAGTCTTTCAGAGTAAGTTACAGTGCAAGACTACATTAAGAACTTTAGTCAAAACGTTTTCTGTTTTAGTGACCTTTCAGTTAATGTGCTTCTCACCAGAATAACTTTGAGTGGATGCTATGATTTGTTTTTAAAATTTTGCTTTACAGTAGTCGATTGCTTTGCTACTTTTCACCACTAGAGAACTAAGTAGAAGGTTCTTCTGACAAAATGTGGTCCCTTTTGCATGTTTTGGTTTTTCTTCCATTTTTTATATAGAAAAAGGGTTGGCCACTTCTGAAAGCCTGTCATCCTTTAAGCTGATAACAAGGGAACCTCTCAACTTCTCAAATGCTTTCTTTTTTTTTTTTCCAATGCTTTCAAGGAGTAAACTGGCAAGTGTTTAAGATATTAAGCTGATTTCATGCTTGCCATAAAACTCAAAAAGCTGCTGTATATTCAGGAGAATGATGGAAGGGTGCTCAATGTTTCATCTTCATCTGTTCTTTCAAAATAAAATCAAAAAAGCTTAGGCCAAAATCCAGTTGTTTTTATTTTCAGTTCAATTAAAGTAATTTCACTTGCACATTGTAATAATATTTTTGAAGTGGTCATGCTGACATTGTGTCTGATTCTGCAACAAATCACCTCTTGCAATAAAGAAATACAGAGTACTGTTGGGAAATAGGACCCTGGGGGGTGGGGGAAATGTTTGTGTGTGTGTGTAGATAAATAGATTTGTATGTATAGGAGGTTTTCTACCTTGAACTGTAAACAAGTTTCTCAAAGTTATGAAGAATGTAGTTACAATGAAAAACACTTAGAATGTCCAAATGTGTAATTAATATCTCATGAGGGTAATAAAAATGAGAGCAAATTTCTCAGTTCTGATAGTTTTGCTGAGGCACTAGATCGAGCTGTGCTTTGGTATTGCAGTCTGTCATGTCTTACCGTCACATTTTTAGCATAGCAGAGATCCAGCTGGCACAGCCTAATCTGTAACAATGTGATTGGGATGCATAATACTAATGTAATTAGCACAGTCTCATGTGAAATATTCAGTAAATGTTACAAAGAGTCTGAAAGGATAATACCAAAAGCAGGGCACAATGAATTACTAATTACAAGGTGGCAGTAAACACCTCTGACTTCCACTGTTAGATACAGCTCCAGTTTCACCTGACTTGAGGGAAAACTTTTCTAGTTGTCAGTACAAGCAGAATAACAACGTATGTTCCATGTCTTTACCATGCAGAGAAAGCTTAATTAAGTCATCAATAAATTAATCCATGTTGCCCAAAAGAAAAATGTCAGGATGCTATAAAAGTAGTTACAGAATATGCACACTGTTGTGCCTGTGAGAGTATGGTTGTCTCTTTTTCCAGGGGCTTATTCCCATGCGCTGTTTATCTTGGCAAGTGAATCACATAATTAGGAAGTGTTCTTGTTTGCCCTCGGGATGAATGGTGCTCATTACTCAGAAGTGTTGATCGTGTTCTTGAGAAGGTGGCCACTGGCTCCAGTGTTACGCATACATCGTGAGCTGCAGCCACTGAAAGAAGAGTTAAAGGATGGAAGACTTGTTGGTATCCTCCAAAAAATTGTATTGAGACACCACCCTCTTCTAGCTGGAAGGAGGCCGCTTGCTGTCACTTAGTGGCAGTGGAGAATTTTTTCTTGAGTCTCTTGCTCATATTTCTCCTTTTGCAAAAAGTGAAGGTTTTTTTAATGGTCTCTGTAGCAGAGAACATGCTTTTATTTTGAAACTTTCTAATTCCTCTTAATGAGATTTTTGAAAGGTAAAGAGCTATGTTAAACTCCATTATCATTTAATGCCATATCACTGTATTTGATCTAAATTGCCTCATAAAAAAAAATCTCAAAAGTTTTTTTAAGGCCTTTAAAGGTGATATGAAGCTGTAACTTTCAACACCAACTGGGGTCTTACATGGGAGCTGTTGCTGGCAGATCATGGATGTTTTCTGTGTAAAATTGGTAGCAAAATTTTTAGGAGGTTTTGCGGCCTCTTATCAATTGGATGACCATTCAGACAAACTCTCTTGAGAGCGTGTACAATGAATAATAAAATTAAAATTCAGTATTGTGACATAGTGTTAAAAATACTGGCATAAAGCAGTTTACCTCCAGAACATTGAGCTTAATGATGCCGTCTCCATCTTTATCAAAGGCGTGGAATGCCCCTAAAACAATGAAACAAAAATATGTGGAGTAAATTAAATTGCTGTGCGTGCAAAGATGATTCCCAGATAGCAAACTAAATGGTGCTCCTGTTGTGATATGCGAACTTGCGCAGGTATTTACTTACATGGTCAGCAAGTGTTCCTGCTGTGTTTTTCCTTAGCTCATTAAAGGAGAAACGCAGTGTTTCTTTTATGCTTGTACGAGACAGCTGTAATATTTTCGTCTCCCTAAGCACATATCTTTAATAATACCCTGCGCAGGCAGTAGTGCTTTGAAGAGCTTTGCTGAGAGTATGATGGGGCCCTGAGCAGCCTGGTCTAGTGCAAGGTGTCCCTGCCCACAGCAGGGATGCTGGGACAAGATCGTCTTTAAGGTCCTTTTCAACCCAAGCCATTGTATGAACCCATGATTCTGTGACTGTGTCTGGGGGGAAGAGGGGAGGTGGTGCAGTAGAACAGGGGCAGCCACTCACTGAACATGGCGTCCAGGCGCACGAAGCAGCAGATGAAGCTGTCAAAGTCAATGTTCATGTTCTTGTCTGCGTAGCGCATGGTGATGATGTCGTAGAGCTGGTTGTTCAGCCGAAACCCTGCAGAGGAGCAGAAACAGGGCACAGCTGGGCCATGGCTGGGGGAAGCGATGGTCCAGGAGTGGTTTGGCCATAGATGCTTCCCAGGCCCAGCTGAGGCTCAGGCTGGATGGTCCTGCTGCAGCTGCTAAACAAAATTAAGCTAAAAGGAGCTTCACTGTGTCCAGCTGCTTTCTTAAAACAAGAGTAACATTTTGAAATTATGATTTGGGAGGGCCAGTAGCGTGTGAGTTACCTCAGGCTGTAAGTATGAAAAGGAGAGCAGCAGACACCAAAGAGTGTGCTGCTCAGCTGGGCCTGGTGAGAACAAATCAACAAAAACTGGGCAACAGAAGCACAGGAGGAAGTTTCTATGAAAACACAATTACACAGTGGTAAAAAAATAGACAAGGAGGCAACCCCTCGGTGTGGTGTGACTGAATTGTGGCACTGAATGCTGCAGCATGCGACCATGCCTCAGAAGGGTCTGTCACAATTTGGGTACAGCTGTTTGTTGGCTAAATGCAAGGTCATGCATGGCCTATGTGCTGTAAGATCTGAAATGGTTACTGTAAAATGTCATCTTAGTTCTAAAGTCAGGGTGTGAGGTATTTAAATATTTTCTCTTTTTACGTTGACAATTTTCCTGGTGAGAACGGAAACCTGGAAAATAAAAATTACCCATATTTCTACTGCAGGAATCCAAATCCAGATATAGTTTTGTCTTTAGCACAGGATCAATCACTGATGTTTTGTAAAGTACAAGGTAGCCATCTGTTTCTCTTCCTTGATGTGCCAAAATACTACTGAAGACAAAGTGTCACTGACATCATCCCATCTAGGTTTATAATGATACTACAGATTTTCAGATTAAAGAGATCATCTTGCTGCCTTAGAGAGCTAGTAAAGACATTTGCAGAAGGAGGTGAGCTCTCCAGGGGAAGAAGCACACCAGTGTGTCTAAGACAAGCAAGAAAAGTCAAGTCTCTCTTTACAGGATGAATTTCACTAACTGCAAGTTTTGCAAAAATACTTTCTTCTCATTGTGCAGGTAGAAGAGACTGAACCCACAGTGGCTCAGTACCTAAGAAACATTAACATGACTCAAGAAACATTCATCTGCTTGCCTCTGATGCATACTTGGGCACTGATCTGCTCCATCTGGGTTTCTGTACTGTACTGTACTGTACTGCCTGTACAGTTGGGTTGAAGGTTTTCCACTGTTCTCTGTTTGTTACTTACACAAATATAAAGAATCCACAGCTTAAATAAGAGCAAATGTCTTCAGCACTCCCTCATCTCCCTGAACAGCAGGACCCCGAGTAGGAGATCCTTAAAGAAGCAGAGCATCACTCATGGGAAATTTAAAGAGAAGCTGAAGAGACCTATTTGGCTGTCAAGACATACAAGGCTTGCCATTTGGATATTTGAAAAGCTCTGCTGGTGCAAAAAAATATTTTATAATTTCTCTAGGGTCTGTCTTTGCAAGGCAGCACTGTGTTTCTGATCTCACCCTGTGATACATCAAACAAAATAAGGTTTTGGACACTGTGCATTGAGAAATACCTGCATCATTGACTGCATTGCGCATCTCATAGCTGTTAATGGTTCCTGAATGATCTGTGTCATAACGCTTGAAAATTTTCTGGAAAAAGAAAAAAATAAATACATAGTAGTAATAAAAACTTCTCTTGCATG